ACTCTTACCTCTCCTCTCAAAATACTTACCACGCATTTTATTAATGTTGTTTATTTTATTATTTGTTCTCAAATTAGTTGAAATCAGCACGAAGTCTTGATGATTCTGTTGAATGTTAGTATTTATTTAATAGTGTGAAATCAGATCCAACAGCTGGAAAGACAACGCAGCATATTATTCAAGCCAAGGATTAATAGTCACCTGTCTACACAACAACGTCAACTACAGTAACCTAACCTAAGTACGCTTACGTCTCGGGACTTCAACTCCTCATAATTATCTCTATTCAAAGGAAAATTAGATTGTAATCTTCAAGTTCCCTAGTATATAGTTAGATACTCGTATACTATCATTCTACGAATAAAGGATTCCGAGGAATATCTCCATTAATTAGTCTCATCTTACAGTTCAAAGAAACTATCGCCTACTTAATTATTATGAAATTATCATGGACGGGAAAACTAAATTGCGAGACAGCTGAACAGACATTTTTAATAGTTATAACAAATTAATAAAACTGTTTGTGGTTGTGCACTGAGCCAGCGTATTATTTTCGTAATAAAAAAGAAAATTATTACACATATAAATGTCTCTGTCTGTAGATTAATAGTGGCTTTTCCCAAAGTTTCAGGTAAGCCGAAGTTTTTTATATGAGGCTCCGATAAAGTCGGCTTGCGAGTCTGTGTGTGTGTGTTATTAGTTGCTAGTTACGCTCAGATATGTATGTAGGTATATATGTACGTATTTGCTCTTGTTTACCATTATTATTTCTTTTTTACTAAGCCAGGATCGGTGTATAGTATAGTTTTCAAATAAAGATAATTCTTTATTTTTTGGAATTAATATTCTACAAAATATATGTTTCTTATAAAAAATAATTATTTAAACAAAAACAACAACACAACATCACGCGTTTTCGTCAGTTGCGTTATTACTCCCATGAGGTAGACAGCGAACATCAACCGACCACAAACTTCGAGTTGCTACTGAAAGTACCGAAATGAAATACCAAATTTTATTAACTAGTTGTTCTCTACTAATGCATTTCTGACTTCACTCACAAACACACATGACTGAATTATGGTACCTTTCATGAGGGGGAAAGTCGTCACATGTATACTCTTACTGACTAAAAACCCCCCTATGTCTACATCTTCTCCGGACCGGGGCCGCGGTACATTTTTTTTAGATAGATGATAGACTCATTAACAATAGGAATTAGAAACATCTACAACATCGAAGAAAGGTGTTGTTAACGATTTGAGGATTAGGGATTCAGGGATCCAGACCCGAGCGAACGGCGCGTAGCGTTCCGCGCGCGCTTCAAAGAGACCATCACAGACGGGGCCCCATAGGGCTGATGTTCAGCCGAGGTTGCGGGTTAAGTGCAATGAGTCACCGCGGCTTCGGCCCAGAGCAGGAGAAGGAACGGGGGGTTTTTAGTTAGTAAGAGTCTGACACTCTCTCTTGCCTTACCCTGGGCGGGAGAAGTCATTTGACGATTTTCCTCTGACAAAAAAAAGGGGTTCAGGGATTGGGCCTCCAGTAACTTCATTCATATGGCGAAACACATCTCGAGCATTATTACACGTCAGTTTTCCATGTGGTATCTAGTCAGCTCGTTCGCGCCGAAGCATGACCCTCCCACACTTAAATACGTGATATCAATACAGACGTGATAACGTACTCACGAAACACACACATATATTAGCACACGATCATAAAATATGAAGTTGATTTTAACAGAGTAAGTAATAAAATAAAATTAATCTTGCAGTCAGCGTCTGGTCCATACAAATCGGATCGGAAGCGACTGTCGCCGGCTGTTTGAGCTTATTCAAGTAATCCCGTTGTTATAATACAAATACCAACTCAATTTGCTGCAGCTCTGCCTACATATAAATGCAGTTATACTTACATTTGCCAACGTCGTTTTGGCGTCATTCGATTTTTTTGTATAATTACTTTTAGTTTTTTAAGCCATAGACATAATAGAGAATTTTATTGATTAGGATTTATGACCTTTTAAATTTTTGTTATCGATTAAAGTCTGTACTGAAGGCAGAGATTTTTTTGCCACCCTTATTCTAGCCGTGGGTATGAGTGTGATACTTACATACAGACTAATAAGGAACTATACATTTGACAGAGATCGGGCAGCAGTGCTGTCTGATAAACTTGAACTTTTTAACTATATCCAAACTGTCAATATAACATTAAGGTATTAGTATCCTTCGTAAGTCGTGGTGGCACGGAAGTTAAGCAGCCCGCTACTCATGTATGAGGAAGCGGGTTCGAAACCTGGCAAGTATCAATGTCACTTTATTCAAGTTACTTTCTAAGATTATTTAGATACCACTGACATATCGTAAAGGAAAACGTCGTGAGAAAACCTGGTCTCATATTTCTAATTATAAGTTTGAAGTCGCCAATTCGCCTTAAGCAAGCGTGGTGATTAATGCTCAAACCATCTTCATGTGAGAAGTAGGCTTTTCTCAGCAATGAGCAGTTATAGGCTATCCTTCATAGGGTATCCTTCTGTGTGGAGAAGAGTCATAAAACAGCTGTAGATAGTCTACAAGTTCTTATAAAAAATTCACTACATTTATTGCCAGTTCAAAAAACAAAAAAAATCACAATATATTTGTTCGGATACTGTTATATTTAACATAAGCACGAAATAAAAAAAGATTCAGTAGCTTTTAATAATAAATTACGCTCAAATAGCGAAAAAACAATATTACCATGCAGTATGCAAATAGGAGCAATGGATAATGACCACGCACACATCCACAGTTGCGAGCACACTACAAATTTCACACTTACATCAAACCATTCTCTTTGCCTTTGTGTAAAATGCGCTAGTATTAGATATTTAGGTATAAAGATTTCCCTAACGGCTTCGAAATAGAAAGACAAACATTGATTCTTAGTGTACCTATTCTTGTTCTGCGCCTCTTGTAACTTACAACTGAACTGTTTCAAAGTTTACCTAAAAATATCCGCCTTAGAAATATATCCGTTTTCGTGAACTGCATATTGCATTCGTCGCTATTTTTATCTTACTCTAATCTTCAGGTGTAATAAAACCAAGTTGCTATGTAAGTTGCATTCAATATTCAAGCAGAATACCAAAGAACAGTTTAGAAAATTAAAACAATTCCGTATGTCGAAACCGACTTATTTCCAACGAACATAACGGTCACAAGGCATGTAATTCCCATCCAGTACACGTAGCAAACTGCTCGTAACATAACACAAGTTTAATTCTTAAATAGGTACACACCTAATCCTATGCAGCGTAACGCGTAACGTTTTACGTAAATTCAAATAAAGACACATTAAAATAAATAATGTAGTTGAGGCGAGTTCAAACAACATTAGTCAGCCAAACGGGAGTGCGGTCCGCTTCTCCGCTAGTTTTCGTTTGCGCAATCAGGAAATTAAATAAAGTTCGCGACCTCATATCTGGCCAGACACTTAAAGAAAAACTTTGTACCAAAGTCATTTAAAAATTGAACTTCGAATTTTGTTCGTAGTACTAATTTTGAGCCAAGACTAATTTATTTTTACATTAAAGATAGTAAGTAGCTACACTAATAGTGTTATACTAAGACGTTACAAATAATAGTCTCAGTGCCATTATTTGGTAACCACGATTGGTGCAAATATGACAAGTTGCCAGCCTGCCGACTAAGCAGCCGCTCAAAACCATACCGAGTTATTATTGACCACAATCACATAAAACGATAGACATAATTTCTGAATATTTAAATCCTATTCAACTTGTTTTATAGTGAATCGAGATATATACAGTTAAAAGCTGCGTTCAATAATGATTTATATCTTTCAACATTCGTACTTTTTCCAGTCCGTTACCCAATTTCAATTGATTGTGCTTTTTTTACTTTACTTTTCAAAATTGGAGTTTCGATTTGGGGCCTATAAATATTGGATGATCGACGGCCTATCGTCGCTGTAAGTTGCAATCGACTGGGGTTAACGGGTTCTTAATGGCACTAGTGTGATCGGCTCGAAGCCAGTCACCATTTGCACATGATGCAAATCCTATCTATCAGATGTTTACATTATCATACATTATACCTTGAAACAGGTTATGCATTATATAGGTATTTAAATCCGATTTTACTCTTGTAAGTCACTAGTGACAGGCCGCTATTTAATGGATGTTATTATACATAAGACTCGTCTTGGTGGCCCGGAGGAGAGAACACCCCACACCCTCATGCATAAGAAGCCCGCTTCTCATGCATGAGGGTGTGGGTTCGAAACCTGGCAAGTACCAATGTGACTTTTTCCGAGTTATATGTACTTTCTATGTTTATTTAGACACCACTAACATACGGTGAAGATTAAACGTCGTGAGGAAACCTGGAATTATAATTTCTAGTTCTTATTTCTAATTCTTATTATTTCTAATTATAAGTTTGAAATCGCCAACCCGCATTGAGCAAGCGTGGTGATTAATGCTCTAACCTTCTCCGTATGAGAAGAGGCCTTTGCTCAGCAGTGGGCACTTATAGGCTGATGATGATGATGATGATAATGATGATGATTATACATAAGACTACCTGTCATGAATCAGTGTATTTTAAAAATCGCATCATAATCCGTTGCGTAGTTTTAAAGATTTAAAACTACATAGGGATATAAAAAGCGACTTTATTTTATACTATGTAACGATTATTCCGTTTATAAAGAATATTCGTTTTAATTTATAAAAATCTATCTCCATATTCACTCATTCCAAATACAGTTACCGATTACAATTTTCTCAACGTGTCATAACATAACCCGCGTCAAAGTTTATTTATTCTTACCCACTTCATGTCAATTTTCGGGTAATGGGAAAAATGAATGGCAGCTGTCAACTGGTAGACTCTGTTAAAATTTTCATAGAGATTTAAAAATACTTTGTATAGTAAATCTAGGGTACAAATTTTCACGTGGCAGAGCTCCTACGGGATGGTTCAACCAAAATGATACCACGGCCTCACAGGAAACCTGCGTTATTTCACGCCGTGTTAGGACCAAAGGGTCAATCTTCCCTTTTACTCCGAGTGAGTGGTGTTACCAGAGGCCCAATCCTCCCCTCACCCTTCTTATCCTCAAATCCCAAAACTCTGAACAAAACGCTGACAATACATTTGTGACTTCTCTGGAGTTGAGGGTGTGGCTAGCACCGATCATATTTTAGCCACAAAAATTTCTTGGCAACAATTTCCACTAGGATTTCATCGTTCAGCTTCAGAAAATCAGATGTTTCCCCGTTGGCCTCCTTTTTCTTCCTCCTCTTTTAAAAAAGAAACAATAGTGTCACCACGTTTATGTGTACTGTGCAACATTGCGCAGTGCTTGTGCCTCTCTTAAGGAGCCATTAAGTGCCGACGACGCGCTTACCTAGAGCTGTTAGCTGTTGAACTCCAGCTCGACCTTACAAGAGCGAGCATAAATTCATAAATATAAAAAGAAAATACGTCTTAAGCTTTATTATTTTCACACTATGGTACACTTTAAACTGTTTTTATTATTACTTCTTTTGTCATTGTATTTCCTAAATGATATGATCCTCTTATCTAGTTTTTAAGCTCACTTTTAGCATATACACAATATCGCAGTTTGTATTCTGAAATAGAAAAAATATGCGATTTTATGAGTCATAGTTTTCCGAAGTCCATCAGTGTGTAATATCGTAGGTTTCCGAAGATTCGAAACCTAGCACGTATCAATGTGGCTTTTTCGTGGTGTAAATATGTTCTTTCGAAGGTTATTTAGACACCATTGACATATGGCAAAGGCAAACATCGTTCTAATTATAAGTTTTAAATCTGCAAGAGATCTTGAGCAAACGTAGAGGTTAACTCTCAATGTGCTTATTTCTTCTCGACGGTTAATAAAGGCTCTCTGCTGTAAGCAATTATAGCCACAGAGAATGAAGAACAAAAAACTGAGTAATTAGACTTTGCCACCGGGCCAGGCAAAGAACAAACCAAGTCGAACCTGACACTGACGGCTCTCAACCCCAGCTTACAACCACGCTATTAGCATGGCTACTTAAATTACATTACGGGAAGATCAATAAGTGTTTCTAATTCTTAAAAGATCCGTAGTTAGTTTTAAAGTGTAGTCAGTGGGCATGTAGACTCGTCGTTTGCGAACTATCATTTTCAACTGAACATTCGTCTCCTAAGTAAAAATCGATGAAGACAGATTCGTATCTTCAGTGATGGCGTACATATCACATGAATTTCCCTATTCACATCTTATCTGTTATTCATTACATTAAAGTAGGAATGAGAATGGAACGCAAGGCTGGAGAAAATGCCTCGAAAAAGCTTCATACACGCTACACGCAGTGGCATTACTTTCAAGCCGCAGAATGTATTCAGAAGCACATTGTTCATATTTTTTCGAATATCCCTTGTTTACTTAGTGTTTTAAATTTTAAAGCATTCGTTGTGGAATGTGAGTGCGGCACTCAGCGTGGAGAAGACTGGTAGTGGTTGTATAAAGCAGGTCGGGCGGAGCCGCGGGTGGCCGGGGCGAGCGCGCGCTCGACCCTGCCGCCGCCGCCGCGCCGCGGGCCCGCTAACGCCCGTCTACACCTCCACAGCACAACTAGATCCCAGCCAGAAAGCTCGGAAACCTTTAAACTTGAAACAGTTCCCGTTCTTAAGGGTAAGTGAACGCCTTGTTTGCAGTAACGGCCACGCCACGCCACTATGTATTTATGACGCTCCTCAGTCAGCGTGCTCCATCACATCAAGCATTTGTTTATACTCTTGACTGTGTATAAACAATCCACAACATTCTCCATGGTCTCTGAAAGGCATTTTTCACTGTGCAGTATTTTCTTGGCAAACGGAGTGATTACCTTGTCCTTAATAATTTATTTGAGCTTCTACCAAGTAACACAAAGGCCAGTCTTATCTCTTGAATAAAACATCGTTTCTTTAGAACTGAGAGCAAATCGCAATGGTAGGTTTTCTTTATACTGTTTTCAAGTTAACAAAAAGTTAATTTGAAGCATGTGTGAAGCTAAGCTTACTTAGGATTAAACGATATACCGTAGTATCAACTTGTATTCGAAAATCAGAGCACCTACCTACACTTTAAACGCCAATCGTTTATATTTCTGCGAACACGTTAATGTTTTCCATTACATAGAGTTAATATATATGCATATACGTACTGAATGTAATTTGTACCTACATCACATAGAAAACCGAGTTCATTTTAACTGTTTGATAAATTGTTAATGTATATGTGTATCATAGATTGCCATGTCTCTATTGACTCCATTTTTAAATCCAAGTTCATAAATCACCCTTTTATTCATAAATTATTAACAATGAGGTCCAAAGCAGTAATAAATTGTCGAAAACCTCAACTATCTGCGTCGAGCAATCTCTTAGAAAATCCTTTATCACAATGAAACAAACAGACTAGCAAACTAACAGAGTTGATTTCATGTTTCATTTTTCCAATTCCCTCGCGGAATGTATATAAACCGAACTGACCTAACAGTTTGTTTGAAAATAAAACATCAAAACAGTTTAATTAAAAAGAATTAAAAACCTTTTCGAAGGTAACACGTGCGACGTAAGTACATATATGTTTAATTACAATAACATAATGAAAGTGACGAAATGTTTAAAACGGTTTCATGGAATAACAAGCCGGGCATTTACGTTCAAGCATCGTCCACGTGCGGTGGGGTTGAGTGCAATATTGCCAATGTAATTTGTCCCTCATGTTTTGTCGCGGAACCACTTTCGTACGAGCATTTATTTGCTATTCGTCTTGTATTCCAAAGTAGCATAGTTGCAGTTGCCAACTCGGTTACCGCTTGCATAATTTTGCTTGAGAAATTGTAAAGACGGACGGCAAAATTGAAACGTAGCCTGTATCTTCCTTTGTTATATCGCTGCACTGCACCGTTACACTGTCATATTTCTTAAGTAATATCATGTCTGGTGTACCTTGAAGCGAACATAAATTTTGAATAAATAAGTTGCAGTGCTTTTAGCAGACAAGCATCGAGATAAAATAAGTTGTAGAACAATTTGTGTACTCTGCTTCGTAATATCTTCGCGTATCTCAGAATGCCACTGTGGACTTTGGAGTGCGGAATAATAGTACCTATCTAATTATTCACAATCGGTGTCCAGTTGCGTCGGCAGAAGCCTTAAATAGCTTTTATAAAAGATGCAGACCGGTAAGAGCAGCCTACATTTGAACCTAACAATTTAGTGTCGTAAACCTTCCTTCAGAGACTTTTGTCTCGAGGACACAAAATCGATGGACAGTAGACCTTAATATCACATGACTTGAGTTTTACGAGTATCGAAGTATCTCTCGTACAAAATAAATACGTCCGTTTGAGTTATAAAAAGACAAAGGTAGAAACGCCGATCACGTATCCTACCCCGTTTATCCCAAGCCACTAGCACGTATAAATCTCTTTATGCGAAAACAAGTTTTGTGACTTTACAATGTTTTATCTTGACATAAAAGTGTAAGTTTTGGACGTGCATACACAAACGTATGTGCAAACCCCTCTGGAATCTATCGGAACAATGGTTGCACTTAAGAAACACTATACTTTTTGTTTAGACGTGTAAACATTGTATGTTCAAAGATTCAGACGATGCCTCTAGCGTTATCTGTTTACTACACTTTGTACTTGAATATTCTCTATCTATAGAAGTATAGAGTACTATACTACTATCATAGTACTACTTTGTATACCCTAGTACGTAACTACTGCGCAAAAATAACTGAATATCAACGATCAACGAAATCTATTCAATAGATCGGAACTCGAGCGATAGATAAATGACGTTCCAGCGCCCATCTCGACAACGGATTTTTTAAATTTGAATTTTTGATGAGCACACGGAAACAAATCAATAAATGCCGTTGTTCTAGATTTTTCTGTCTTTATTTCAGACAAAATACAGATATATCATACCTTTTGCAATAAAGAAAGCCACCAAAAAAATCTAATATTATAAAACACGGTTTTAAAACATGCTGAATTTTATTAATTTTGTTTTTTAGCGTACCTAAGTTGTATTTACATACTCGTATGTATATCAAAATAAGTTATAATTATTAACTTAACATGTCTACCGCAATACAGATAAATAACAAACAATTTTGTCTGATTAGGGTCCAGAATTTAATTTTAAAACGGGCAGGTTGACGCGGTCCAATGTTACAGAAAGCCACCGAAAAATGTTCCATAGTAAATGTTTTCTCATTGTTGTATCAACGCAACAGTAAGGGATACGAAACGTAAATAATAAACACGTGTGCAAATGTTGTTTTTATGGAACAATTTTAGGCTAGGTATACACGTATTTTATTCCTTCTTATTGCTTGATACAATTTAATTGAATGTATATCTTCAACGTATAACATTCGTTGCTTAATTGTCTGTATTTTTCTCAACGCACATACATATACTTACAAGTAATTCTAAGCACACGGTAGATAATTTAGAAATGATTTAGTCCTGAACATTAGGTTAAACTAGGCACATGAAGCGTAACCAATCTCTGGTTAATAGATTTTCAACTTACTTACAGAAACAATACGGTTGAATACTGATCTGGACGTAGAAATGTACGTGCGTGTACTCAAAGCTTAATGGTGGAACACAGACGAAGCGCGGTGTGGTGCGGGTCTCGGCTTAGACGAGGTTGTGCGGGACACTGCGCGCTGCCCGAGGGCAATCACTGCAGTCCACCGACCGCCGTCTACCAGTGAATATTTTACATCAAACCACCACCCTTATCCAATACAAAGCAATGTAATTACACCGACATGGACCGATTGTGAAAATTTCCTACTTTTTATTTTCATTTTTTATTCTTCAGCTTGATTGAATTTCTGCAATTAAAACGCATCTCACACAATTCACGCTCGTATAATAGCTGAAGCAAAAATACGCATACGAAAAAAACTGAGCGTTTTTCAATTTATCATATAATATTTACCATACCACTTCAAATGAATCCATACAATCTTGATAAATCTACTATAATTGAAACAAGTTACAGATAAAACTTTGAATAATTTCTCTGCGTGGAAACCTGATTGAATTTCTCGATGAGAGCAGCTGACAGATTTCGCATGGACAGTAGCAATATAGATATAGAGACGTCGCGCCGTAGCGTCGCGGCTTGCGGTCCGAGAGCTCACAAACCGGGCACATACACCCCCGGGGATTCTCAGCTCTGCCCCAACGTACTAACAAAGTATCGACTACTTCGCCTTTTATTAAAGCAATTACGTTTATTTTCCGTCCAACGCTACGATGTTACTGTGAAACTTATTTCCCTCGATCCTTGTACAAACTACATTACAAACGTCGTATTAATTCAACGCTCGCTATTGTAGCAAAGATTCTTTCTTCTCGAAACTCAAAGCAAAGCCGCCGCAAGCCGCGTGAAACGAATGCTGGTTTAAAGATTGGAATGGAGCATTAAGTTGTAAAAGATACCTCGGGCACTCGCCGCCGCCGGCCGCTGTGGTATCCCATTTGGCTCAATGCGCTTTTACCACTTGTGTGTCATTATGTGTAACAGAAAACACTCTTGTTGATTATTTTCTTTCTCGCTTTTTGATTTTAATATTCTTTACAAAGTCAGCGACAAATGTACCTCGATTCTTTTTTTCTTAGGTATGACTTAAATTTACGCATATTATTGAATTTATAATAAAAATAATACCTATTTAATCACAGCTCATTCATTTGCTGACGACAACGGTGGAAAATTGATAATAAAGTAGGCACGGCATCGTAAAATACGGCGTAATTGTCGATATCCACCCCAATGATTTATCAATATCGCGCGTACCAGAACAACTACGAAAAACTGATAAGTGTGAATTGGACACGCATTCAGTGGAGGTTCCGCAGTGTTTAAACCTATAGAACTGAAAGCAACCTTCATCTATACAATAATACTAAAACTGACTAAAACCAATTGTCAAATCGCTCTTAACTCTAATGATCTATCTATGACTTCTTCTGGCTCAAAAGCAAGTACCTACTCTAAATTTTAAATCATTAAAATAGGCTATCAACAGACTATTGAATTCAATTAGATTGAATGAAAACCAATTATTTTTATGGACGACTGACCTCACTTAACTTGCTAACTTATTTTTTTTTCTTAACGGTCTTTCTTACTATTACATACAAGTAATAAAGATGGGTTTACCTTATTTAACTGCCGCCATTTCATTCAAGGTCAATTATGTTTAAGCACTAGAAAATTCCAACCTCCTTTACACAAAAAATTCAATATAAAAATTAATATTTAATTTTACAAATAAAAATAAAAAGGGCAGAGGAATCCAAAAATTCCGAATATCAATAAATCAGTTTTATGATTATTGAATATTCGTTTACTTGTCTTTTAAAACAGCTTTTGATTTTATCCAATTAATAACCAGATTTTATCGAAATATTGTGAATTTATCATAAGTCAGTCAAAGACGTATAGGTACTCATGTGGATTTAGTTGGATAACTGGCTGAAAACACTACGCGTTGATTTCGTAGATCTCCTTAATTTGTGTGACAAGGAGCAAAAAAATTAAAAACCTTTGTCTTCTGATAGCATAATATGACTGTAGTCTGCTGTAGTAGAGTGTTATTCTCGGTCTGGTAAGCTCTCTCTCTCTTTTCGGAAGTTATGTTATTCCTCCTAAATAATTCAACACAAACACTTCCAAAGTTGGTAAAACGCCTTTGTCTCGCTCATACTCAGTTCGCTTACAATCCTTTTTTTGAGTAGAGAAAATCATCCATTGTATTCTTCCACCCTGTGTGAGTCTAGAGAGAGTGCCACACTCTTACTGACTAAAAACCATCCCGTTCCTTCCCCTGCTCCGAATCGAGGCGGTACATAATTACTCTTGCACCCGCAAACTTAGAAATCGAACCTAATGGAGCTCAACACTAGTCTGTTGGCTCCTTGAGGAGTGAGACCCGCGTCTGCGGACTAAAACTACGCACTCCTTAAGTAGCCTGAGACCGTACGCTTACAATCCTTATGTTTACATTTTATTATCTATATTCTAATAAATGTAAATCCCTTCATTCAATCCTGGTGAAAGATGTGGGCGAGTACTGAATGGAATCAACCTCCAATACTTATATTGGAAAAATACTCTATTATTAATGCATACCTACGCATGTTTAACCTAAATGAATTGTAACTTAATCTTGTTATGTCTATTTATATAATATGACCCCTTGTTCGATCCCCGGACGGTACAACATTATTGGGTTAAATGTGGGTGTAGGTACATACTAATCCATGTGATGACAGCAAAGAAGTTTAATGTATCCTTACCCCAATTCTTCTAGCAGGTTTCGTCAGCACTGGAGATAAGACACTAAATAAGGCTGAAAGAAAAATAAAATTGCTGATGTTAAGCAGAGAGTGTGACAATACTCTTTTAACTGCAAAATCGAATGCGTAACTAGGGACTGTCGAGAATCCTCTTATGTGCAATGGCGTTTAGGCTTTGGCCTGTAGTCTGGTAGGAAACTGTTATGGGGCGTCAAAAGTACAAATACACTTCTTTTAAACCAACAAATAGTGCAAAACTTTCCTTGCCCTTATTAAAATATCCATAATCACATTGTTGGTTTTTTTTTGTAACTGGCATGATGATTAATTACAGTGAAAATATAGTTTTTTCATCTACAACACAGCTACTTACTTACATAGGGTATTTTCCAATGACTTTACTGAAGACGGTGTCGCAGTGGTAAGAGGCCCAGTGCACAACGTGGGTCAAAGAACACACTTAGGTCTCGATAGGGCCATAACAGGCGTTCGTAAGGATTCTGGAGTTAGTCCATAGTGGCTACTTATTTTTAACTTCTCTGAAATTTTTAACTCTCCCGTTTTAGTGAAGGAAAAATCCTAGCCTCTCTAGTCTTTTTCACCTTAAAGCTTGACGCCTTTAAAAATGTCTCTAAAAAAGTTACTTTATCAGTAAAATCAATGAGTTTTCAGCAACAATCTTGACAGACACGATATATAGGTAGGTACTAGAGGAATCTCACATGGGCAATTACCAAATACCAACCTAGGACGACAGCTAACCTGTCTATCTATACTCCTAGTTATGTATACCTACAAGAACAAAATCTATGTAAACTCCCACATAGAATAATATAAGTACCAACGCACGTAATTAAACATACGCTTCAGTCAGGGTGCCCAAGGTACCTACCAACATAAAAGGAAGGCAATTTTCCCCTAATACATGTCACACACACGCTCTTGGTAGAGTTATTTGTCTGACAGTTAATTAGATACCCATATACATTTATAATCAGTGCCAAATCGTCGAAAGATCTGTTTACTGTACAGAAATGTGTTTCTATACCTATTAGGTACACGATCTCTTGTCTTTTCTGAAAACAAACGGAAATATTTATAGAAAATTATACATTTCATCATTTCATTAGCAGGTAATACGACAATATTGGTTTTTTATTAAACAACACAAACATACAAAGTACCTACAGAAGCCAAATAAATTTTTGGTAGCTAGGTACTTGTGGTAAACATTAGAAATGCGTACATGAGTGTGTGTGTGTAAGCGGTAATAACATGAATCATAATATTTTTCACCATCAATCATTCCTAAAACCAATATTTCAGGAAAAATAATATTTCAAGCAAAAGTAATGTTGATGCAAATATTTTTGTTACACAAAGCTAAAAAGGTACACACAAGAAGGTGTACCGTAATGTACGAATCTTTTGCTATGTATTCGTACCACAAACGTTCTTAAATAAATAGTAGGTACCCTCGAACAAGACTCTAACAACGCAATAGCAAATAGAGCCCCGGGATATGAAGTCGAAGGGGCTGCCCTTTCCGAGCGCCCACAATATTCCGACAACGCAACATTTCCATAAAAAAAACTTCGTCACCAATTTTTCGGCACAAAGAATCCTCTCAAAGATCTTCCTTTAGTTCTGTAATCAATAATTCCACCTGTAAAACAGTAATAGCAATAAAATTACATTCTTTCGATACACAATTAATTTTTTTCACAAAACTTTAAAAACTTATTTTCAGTAAGTAGCATCATTAGATATGAACGAAAAAGCTAAAGTTTATATGGTATGTGGTGTACAAACTTTATTCGTTTGCAGTTTGTGAGTTTCGCAATGAGAACATTATTATTTCGGTCCCTATTAAACCGACTTTCCTCCTATTAATGAAGCCATTATAAGACTTCCTGACTTTTCCATCAAGTGGACCGCGCTCTTAACATTGTCGCTGTATAATATTACAAACAACGGAAAGCTATCTGCGCTTAATATTGTATCCTGAAATCCATCCTATGTTCTCAACAAAGAGAGGTTTATAACACTTTTATGTGACAAACCGGTTGTTTTTACTAGTCAAATTCATATTTTTATTAAATTGTTAAAACTATACTTTTATATGAATATTGTATAAAATTGCAACATCATATTAATGTTTTTAGTCAAATAGCATACCTATTCCCAAAAAGTTCGTTCGATAAAATTAAAATCCTACTAATATTTTTAATGTGAAAATATATGGATGTATGTTTGTTATTTTTTCACGCAAATAAGGCCGGAATGATTTGGTTGAAATTTGTTATGTAACATAGATAGATACATAGCCGGGGCTGCGGGGAAATCGCAATGAGGCACTGCGACCTCGGCCCAGAGCGGGAGAAGTAACAGGGGGGTTTTTAGTCAGTTAGAGTCTGACACTCCCTCATTCTGAGAAGTCATTTGACGATTTTCCACTCACAATAAAAAAAAAAACAGATGCATGACACCCTGGATCAACACATAGGTTGCTTTTTATCAACATACAACGCGGACGAAGTCGCGGGCGGAAGCTAGTAGGTACCACAATGTACTTAATATTTTCGGAATTATATTGAAAAATGTAAATAAGTTATTTTTAGGTAGGGCACTATCCCAATTCATACGGAGACCATAAATAAAGTAGAACTTGCTTTATTGTAATCTACTCAGAAATTAAAATACAAGTTTGATTGAAACAGGCAAAACTCATGTTTATTTAACTCCAAACAGTCCCGAACAGCTTCTGGAGTATAGTATATTATAAGTAGGTTTGCCATGCATTCTAAATTGCTAATAGGTTATCAACTATTCATGTTTCCGATAGGTACAACATGCAGTACCTACATGCATAATGGACGATCTCGATAGCGCCATCCATTACGGACCTCAGACAAAGCCTACAGCTTTTATAATAAACTGGCTATATCCTGCGATCTTGTCTACATGCATTTTATTCCTAACGGTCATTTTAGACTACTGTACGGAGACTACCCAAACTGAATAACTTCTCATTATATCTTACTAATATTATAAATGCGAAAGTTACGATGTTCGGATGTTTGTTACTCAATCACGCCAAAACGGCTTTACGAATCTATATGAAATTTGGCACATGCATAGGATACACTCCATAATAGGACATAGGCTTTTATCAACATACCACGCGGGTGAAGCCGCGGGCGGAAGCTAGTTCCTCTATAAAGTTTTAGTTCGAAAAGGTTTTTCTGCAACAATCCACCTTAGTAATTATTCTAATGATATTGAAGAAATGTTAGACCCCACTGAGACTCGCAATCCCAAATCAACCACGTCAGCAGTGGCTGACCTGAGGATTACGGTTCTCGTGTTCAATTCCCTCGCCAAAAAAAAATTGTTTGGCCTACCGCTAGCATTGTAGAGGAAAATTTTATTTGTAAACGTACGGTATTTCAGCAATGTTTATTTTAGTAAGTATTATTGCACGAACCGAAAACATCGATTTCTCGAAATTCTGTGTTGTGTAGGTAAGGTTTAGTTTTCTGCTGAATTCATAGATAGGACTTTATGTATCCACCTACCTACTACATAGTTTTTACTAATAAATAAACGTCTTCGTCGTGCATACGTTATGCAATACATCGTACTAAAATCAATTTTGAAAACAATTTCAAAAGTTTTTTCGGTTATAGGTAGGTACTCTAAACATCTAAATTACGCCATATAATGGTGTGGGTGCGAGAGGACACCACGATCCGCTTGGTGCTTAAAACTAAATCAAGGTTCGTGATTCTCTATCTTCGCCGTATGAGCGCTCCCGCCACCCTTATCTCCACGATGCAGGCAACGTACTTGCGACTCCTCTAGTGTTGCAGGTGTCCATGCGGGACGTCAAATGCTAACCATCGGGTAAAACGAACGCTCGTTTGCTAGGGTAATTTTTTTTACCGTAAACCAGAGGCCGAAACGATTACGGTGTTCGAAAGGATGAATTGACATGTCTTCAAAAAATCTTAACAGACTATTTAAGTACTGCTGAACTAAGACCCACATATTTATAAGAGAATTTAGAAAAATAAGTAATAATATAAGTAAAGTTGACTTTTTAGAGAGTGGCTTACATCAATGACAATAGTCCCATACCATATTAGATATTGTTATCCACAAAGTATTGGATCAAAGTTACTTTGTTTGGTAGAAAAACATACTTATTTTGTTTTCCTGTTAAAGCAAAGCGAAGGTGACTGTCAACTTCTTTGCAGATGTCTATTTCTATTTATTTATTAAATGTCCTTTCCTACGTTTAACTTCAAAGTTGCTAATGATACTAACGTTGGACGAGTAAGCCGCAGATAACAGTTAGGTGTTAGACCGTAACTTTTTAGGATAGCTATTGTGCATAATTACAAACAGGCAGCCGCTTACGGTAATGAACCATTTCCTGCAATTAACTCTAACCACTCGAGTGGGTTATCTACAGATTGTCACATTTTATGTTTGTCTCATAAAGATTTTCTACACTTTCCCACCACCATTACAATTTTATAAAAATGCGTTCAAAAGCTTTCTTTGTTCATTTTCTAACTTTTTCTAGTATATACTATGCTCTTTATCCCATAAAAAGTTAAAATATTTGCTCATTCCTAGCAAATAAAACGAAAGATTTGACCACAAATGCATTTTCTTGCTCACAGGTGTTATATTTTGGAGGCTTGCCAGGAACTGAAAGCAATATCGCACCTCTTTAATTGTACTGTGAAACGCAATTTTACAAAGCGTCGTCTGTTTAAATCTGTTTATTTCGATGTTAGTTTTATCGTGAGTGAACAATTAAACACATCCTTATATGCTTATTTAGTTACGTATTCCGGAAGAACGCGGCATTACATATTAAAAAGAATAAAACATTCTCACTAATAGGTATTGTATTAGAGATTTTATGAAAATAAACATGATACATACACGTTGCTATAAGATGAAATAAACACCCAGTTTTTTTACCATTGACATCGCCTCCTCTATTGAGAACCAGCAATTCCCCCTAAATTACGACGCTCGAAAAAGAAAATGTTGTTTGCAGATGAATGAATGAATACATTCATCCACAGATGGATATTGCCGCTCACCCTTCTCGCAGTACGCAATTACGTCCTTTAGCGCCCTTTGGTGACCTTTCATAACACCTCGGTAAGTGATGATGCAGACCCATTCAATCGAGATTCACAGTTTGAAGCTTCGAGACAATTTCAAACAAAGAAGGATGCTTCTAGATTCCATTTAGAATTCTAATCTAGGTTTCTGAATAGAATCAGACTTTAAATTTTCTTCGATTTTGTGCAACATTTCTTTTTTCAAAGTTATGCCCACGCACTGAATTAAAATTGATAAACGCATACCCAATAAGTGTTATCTGGCAATGCACTTGCTAATGAACCTTTAATTACAGCGTTGTCTGGCGGTAGGCCAGGAAACATTCACTTACATAAGTGACTACATTCAGTTACCTAATTGAGCAGTCTACAAAATTATTTATTTATATCGGATATTTTGGAAAACTGGGTGCTGGTTAGTAGTTTTATTTAAAATGTGAATAAAATACTTTTTCGGAATGTTCATGATAAGATAGATAGTTACATGTTTCAAGTTTTTAAAGTTATGATATCACAATCGTTTCTGCCAGCTGCTTCGCCAACAATAGGTACCAGACAAACAAAAAGTCTATGCCTTATTTTATTCCACATGAAATCTACATTTGTGTCAAATCTCATTCAAATCTGTGCAGTATTTATTACGTGGAACAGTAGACAGAAATCAACCCAAAGTAGGTACAGACCTACTGATATACAAACATTCACAGTTATAAATGTTTGTTAGTAAGATCAGAGTCATAGGTTATAATAATGGTTATAAATATCCCATGTCGTCATACGTAACAATGTCGACGGCCTTAAATGTGGTTTTAGAAAAATATCAAGAATAAAACTATAATTACTGTTTTTCGTACCTTTCAAAATTAGATTGAAATTATTTTAATAGTGACATTTTACTTTCATATTTCCGAATGCACAATTGAACGTCAAAAGTCATTGTCATTCTTATTGACTTCTGACAATTATTATAACAACTGTTTGACACATGTGTAAAAGTGAGGTTAGATTCTACATGTGTGAATTTATTTGGAAGCTGTGTTGTTGATATTAACACCGATTTTGTCCGTTGAATTTAGTGCTTTACTACATTACAAAAATGGTGTCAGTAAAACCTAAAGTGCCGATTAAGGCAAAAAATAAGGAAAACAAGAAGCCTGTTAAAATTGAAAAGCAAAATAAAAAAGTAAAGCCGCAAAATCCAAAACCTAAGGTTACTCCACCTTCACCAAAGGAAACTAAAATTGTGAAACAAGTTAAAGAGGAAATTAAAAAGGAAGATGCACTGAAGAAGAAAGCCAAATACGTGATGCCTTCAGCGAGTATCACAGATGATATCGTCAACTCTTGTTTGAGCGCATTGCTCGATGTTATTGTCCCCAACGATAGACAGAAAAACAAAATATTCGAAGACGAGAAACCTATATTTGCTGAAATTCACTGTATAAAAATACAGAACACAAGAGGAAATGTAAGATTGTAAGTAACAATTCCCACAATGTATCTGTTATAATATTTCATAACATTATACTGAAACTAATATTTCTTTGTTATTTCCAGTGTTTTACCACACAGTACCGTTGCTTCCACTGGAGAAGTATGCTTAGTTACTCCTGATATCAAAAAGGGACGAAAACATGACCATGAACCCACTATTGATCGCTGGGAAGAAATATTAAGAAAGGAAGGTATAACTGGGGTAAGTAAATATTGTAACCAACACATAACTTCCCTACATTTATGTCTAATATATTTTTATATTATTTGTAACTTTTTCTTACACAGGTCAAAACAGTACTACCAGTGAGACAACTGAAAGTGGAGTATGACCAATTTGAACTAAAACGCAGACTGTTAACTCAACATGACTTTATAATGGTAGACACTAGAGTACTCAACCATGTTTCACATATGTTGGGAAAAATGTTCTTTAAAAAACATAATATGTTAATCCCGGTTAGAATAAATGAAGAGAAAAACTTAAAGAAAAGTATTGACATTGGACTTAGAACAGCTATTTTACGTCTTAGTGAAGGGGAGACCTCAACTATCACTATAGGTCACACAGCTATGCCTAAAGAGAAACTAAAAGAAAACATCATTTCTTTAGTTCACCAACTACAGACAAAATTCCCTGGTGGGGAAGCAAACATTAGAGCCATATCTTTGAAGTTGCCTCTATCAGTATCGCTTCCTTTATATCTCACTTTACGTAAGTTTCAGTTGTTTAGAAACTAGTAATTTAACTTAAAACCTTCATGCCAATACTATAAACTACATATTTCATTTTCTAGGACCATCAAACACAATCAAGCCACCAAAACTAACTCAAAAGAGACCTAAGCACTACACTGTATTGGAAGATGAACTGTCCACACTACCTGGCAGGGTTGTCAGGGTAGCCCCTGATGGTACTGTCAAGGTTAAGAAACTTAAACTGGCTCCCCAGGCTAGGTAATAAAATGTTTTTGTTAATATATATTATCTATAATATACTGTAACTTCACAAAAAATATTTTTCTACAATTACATGAAAGAAAAGTACTTTGATAACCTCATTGCACTAAGCTGTTGTAAGTTCTTAGTTTGAAATTACAGAAAAACTTTATAATGATACTTAATCTCATTTATAACAATTCCTGCATTGACTTGAAACTTAATAAATCAATTTGGTTTTATTTCAGTAAAAAAGTAGAAGAAGATGATGAAGAAGAGGAATTAGAGGATGAGGATGAAGATAATAATGAGGAAGAAGGAGAAGAATCAGATGCAAATGATGATTAATTCAATATAATCTTTATTCATACTTTACAGGCTTGTAAAAAAACATGTCTTCATTGAATAAATGACATTGAGAACTATTTAAGAACTATTTTATTTATGCAGCTGTGTTATCACTTAAGTTTATGGAAGATGCATTTATTGAACAGGTTGATCTCCTTATTGGCCATACTTTCTTGAATTTTTTAAAGTTCTTAAGAGAAGTATTGTGAACAGAACTAATATCAGTCTCAATAATTGATTCTCGCTTTACAATCAAATTATTACAAGAAGTAACTATAGTGCAACATAAATCTAATTTGTTCATTTGCTCTTCTAATTCTTCACATTTTTCTTTCTTCAATGTTGGTAATGTCCTGGAATTTTGTTCCATTAACTCTTTTAATTTAGATCCTCTCATTGCTGATATCTCATCCGCTGAAAGGCCTTTAATTTTAGGAACAATTATATTTCCCTCAACTGCATCTTGAGTATCATTTTTCTTTTTATTTATATTGAAAATACTAAAGTTTTGTTTGGGAGTATTATTTGTATCAGACTTAACATCCTGACTATTTTGAACCTCAGTCTGAACAAAATTAAACAGATTGTCATCTGCATTGTTGTCATTAATTTTTCTTTTCTGTGGTCTTGCGAGATTGAGTTTCTTTACTTTATTTCCTATAGTATTGTTAGTAGAACCTGTTTTAACAAAATTAAATACATAATTACTGTCATTATCCGCTGTTTCTGGTGGATTATTTTGTAATGTTTCACTGTTATTCTCTTTATCCATTGCCACTTTTTTTGTAGGGTTCAATGACTTATCATCATCTGACAGTCTTCTTTTGACACTTTCAGTTTTCACATTGGCTACCAAGCAAGATGTAGCTAGCTTTTTGTTAGCATTAACTTGTCCTTCAGTTGTGACCTCACTGAATTTTCTTTTATTAGAATGGTTATTAGCTTGTTCTTCAGACATTAAACTCTCATCTATTACAATATTTTCTTTTTTCTGTTCAGAATCAGGGTCTTGGGATTCAGGGGCCAATACTTTTGATTGTTTTACTGGTGCTTGTGTTTGTTTAACTACTTCAGATGTGAAACTAAAGTTGGGATTACAATATTTGTCCAAAGAACAGTACAATATAGCAAGACCAATCTCTGCATCAGCCACAACTCTTTTACCTTTGTTTTTTAACTGAGCAACAATATCATTAATTGTTTTCTTTTGTGATTGAGTTTCTTGACTGGCACCACTTGCAATATATTGTATCACAATCATATTTTCGGCACATAGCATAGAAGTAGTCATCCTACATTCACTCAACAGCATAGGAGTGGCACCACTTTTAACCAACACAGTTTTATACATCTCATGCTGCCTCTTTGAGAAAAATACAAACTTCTTTCCTTTAAACAATGTCCTGCGCCGGGAATCTGGCAGGAATGAAACTACTTCTTTGTTAAGTGTAGATTCTACAATTTTGGGCAGGTACTCTTTAGGGTCTGGTAGCACCATAAAATTTGTAATGTTTTCAAGACACTTGTTCCAAAAATCAACAGTGACAATATCCGATCCTTGCACCAAAGCTAACACAACTTTAATAGTCAATGTGATAGCAGGCATAGTTAGGTAATTGCAAGTGTCATCCCAATCTCCCTTCAAAATGCCATTCATTTTAGATATAGTCAGTTTCAAATTTTGGAGATTTTCTCCTTTCAATGTCGATGTACATGTTATCAGATCAATAACTTTAACTTTCCATACACTGTTGATTTTACCAAACTTTACAACATCATTCTCCTTTAATTTTATGTTGACATTATGTTCGGTTTTGTTGGAGTTGACGAAGGTTCCGTATTTAGAACCTAAATCTTGCAAAAACAATTCATTATCAATTACGGCCAGCGTTACATGTCGTCTACTTATTGAAGGATCATTAGGTATAGCAAAGTTACATACTTGGTTAACAACATCTCTTCCTATGACTATTTGATTAGATGAAAGAATATAAATGACTCGATTATCATTTTCGGATGTCAAGCACCACATACTTAATAATTACTTTTAAACTAAATCCAAATAGCACAAGCTATGTATTTTTTTATGGTCTAAGGATAAGATTTAAAGATTTATAAACTTTGTTGTTGACAATGACAATGACAGATATGTACTTTTTTTTTTTTGGAGTTTATGGCCTGGATACGAGTCCTTTAAGCCAAGACAGATATGTACACGGCATTGCCGGCACAGATAAAATACAATCACAGACTATAAATTACCCTTTTTTTAGGCATCACAAACAACAAACGACTGATTTTTTTTATCTTGTAGGTTGACTTGGTTATTCCAGTGACATTGACAACTTGACAGGTCAAGTGTCATCAAGTCTATCACCAATTCACCATCACCATGGCAACGAATTGTAACAAACTATTTATTTTTAGATCTAAGTAAGATCTTTAAAAGTACTTAGAGTACAAACCAACTTCAAAAATAAAATACATTACTATTACCATAGAATATATCAGTACTTAAATAAATATATTTACCATGATATGTTTCTTAATACTTCTCTAATTAATTAATACGTTTGCTGCGCTTCTACAATGACTTTGTATATCGATACAAAACTTAGTTTTAATGATGGTAATGTAGTATCTACAGTGGGAACGTGGCACCCTTCTCTGCCTCTTTTAGCTATAGGTTCATATAATCAAGAGAAAGGAGGTTTTGTTACTATATTTCAAGAAAATGTAAGTTATTTCAACAAGATAGATTATTTTATTTCCTATACAATTAATTTGCTTGTGTATTTAAAATAAACCTTTTTATTTTTAGGGTTTACCATTAGAAGGATGTGACTGGCCAATATTATTGTCCAACCAAGTTACTGCACTTGCATGGCACCCTATAAGACGTCTCTTAGTTGTTGGTTGGGATGGGGGAGAGCTCTATATCTGGTTAGAATATTCATGGGCTCGCCTAGAGGCTCCCCATAATGCTGCTTTGACATCAGTAGCCTTTAGTTTAGGAGGTGGTAGGCTCTTGGCTTCAGATGCTGCAGGTTCCTTATCAGGGTGGCAATCTGGTGCAGGAGCACCACTTACATCTTTTCACCACCAACTTGGAGATGTTATCACTCATATAACATTCTGTACACCACAGCCAAGCTCTGAAACATCCATCAGAGGATTAGCTCGTGCTGCCGTAGCTGGAGATGAGAATGCTTTGGATGCACTGGCTGCATGGAGGCCTAGAACAACTGCCCGGATGAGAGAAGGTTCGCAACCAGACAACCATTCATGTTATGCTGCTCAAGATAATGGAGTAATACTCTTCATAGACCATAATGGAGCATGTTCAGAGGTGTTGAATGCCCCTGGAAACATCATATTTATGGGAATAATAAGCAATATCTACCTTCTGGTAGCTTGGGAATCTGGTGGAGCTCTTAGTTTAACCAGATTTGTTATGTCTGATGATGGTTCCCTGATGACAGACACCCATGTAAGAATGGCAGCAAGAAATGGCCAATGTATAGTTCTTGCAGGCAACTTCTATGTTGCAGTCATTACTGGAGATAATTTGATTAGGGTTTGGGACAGTGATACTGGGGACAATGATGTCTTGCCAAATGAGAAGGAGGAGATTGTTGCAGGAGACATCTTCACAAGTATCAGTTACAGCAATTTAAGTGATACTCTCTGTTGTGGGACTTCACAGGGAAACCTTTATCTATGGAGACGAGACCATAGAAATAATTGGAAACTTATTAGTAGTACTTCTGTCAAAGGCACTGTTAAAGAAGTTAGCTGGGGTTCAGAAGGGTTAATGAATCCATTGCTTCATGTGAACTGTATAACAAGTGCATTTGTGCTCCGTGAGCAACCAGTCTGTTGGGGATATTCCCCAAGCATACACATGGTACAAAAATCAGCAAATGAAATTGCTCTAACTGGTAAAAGCAATGTGACATCTATGATCAACACATCAATTACAATAAGAGCATTTGCTTTTAAAGACCAGTATATTGCTCTAGGTGATGGTAAAGAGGTTCAGGTATGTATAGCTATATTTACCTAGTATTAAAATAAGTCACTACTTTTATTAAAATGCAACACTGATCTTTAATTAATTTTCAGATTTGGATGTGCAATAAAGACAATGACATAAAATTTTCACTTATCAGAAGTTTCTTGTGGAAGACTGATGTTCTAATAATCTATAATGATGTCCTGGTTGGAGTTGTTAATCCACACATAGAGTGCTATTCTATAGCAGGGACCAGCCTTGGAATACTTCCCAGTACTGAAGGCGAAGGCGAGCCTATTGGCGTAACTAATACGAGCAAATTTATCGTCATTGCCACTATGGACGGAACTCTGAAACTGGCCGAGATCACAAAAAAAGGCCTAAGAATGCCCTACCCTCCAAAAAATTGCTATCAAATGATTGAAGACTTTGGTGAAGTCATGAGAGCATCAGTGAATTGCACAGGGCGATATATATCGCTCAGCATCGCTAATGCTGGCTTAGCACCAGATCCTAGACTATATCTGTGGGATGTAGCGAATGATGTTATCACGCACACACTTATAGCTGAAAACTCGACCCCTCCATACCAAAGTGTCCCTATAGCAATATTATGGGATAGTAATGACCCAAGGATTGTTGCTGTGCATATGAGGTCAGCTGATCTTGATCGGATACATCTATTTTTGTGTCACGAGGGCAGTCTACACGAATATAGAAATTGGTGTTTAAGCTCTGAAGATTACTATATGAGTGACTTCATGCTATGCTCTTTATACACACCATATGTCGTGATTTTATCACAGCAGAACATAAAAAAAATATTGATCAATGAGTTTGCAGACATAGGTGAACATGACCCTGCAAATATTCGACAAGTATTGGATTTTCTGTACTATATGACTACTGGTTATTTAGAAAAAGCAGTTGTCGTAGGAACTACTCTGACGGGAGGCAAAAATTCAATTATTTGGGATAGCTTGGCAAAGGTCTGCGTCGCGCGTAAAAGACCCGATGTCGGTGCTGTATGCTTAGGCAAAATGGGCAACATCAAAGGCGCTTTGATGATGCGAAAAGTGATGAGCGACGATAACATGGACGATACATGTAAAGTTGCAGTACTAGCTGTTAACCTGGGTATGATTGAAGAAGCTGAAGAACTTTTTAAAGAGGCACAAAGACCAGATTTAATTACACGGTTGATATCAGCAAAGGAAGGTGGTTTGAACGAAATAACCAATGGAACGCATGAAGGTGAAAATATTCTCCTGATAAAGAGTGCTCAACACAAGCTGGCTAAAGTGCTCTGGTCAAACGGGGAAACTGGTGCTGCTTTAAAATTATTCGAAAGTGCTGGGACGTTAGTACCGCACGTCCCCAGGATGCTTGTAGCTCAAGGACAATCTGCTATACTAGCACAGTATGTAGCTAATTCGAATGATGCCAGCCTTATAACTTGGTGGGGACATTATTTAGAGAGCATTGGTGATTTGGATGGTGCTTTAGAAGCCTACGCTCGAGCTAATGATTTTGGAGAGCAAACCAGACTTCTTTGTCATCAGGATAGAATAGATGAAGCTGAAAAGCTTTGCCAGAAGAACAGATCCTCGCTTTATCAAATGGCTCGATACTTGGAAATGCAGCCTGATAAAACTGAAAGTGCAGTAAAGGTAACAGTTTTGGGTCGTAAATATACGCTTAGTCTGAAGCAACAAGGTTCATTTTGTTCTAAAAAGAACGATTATCTCTGTTTTAAATAACGTTTCTTTACAGATGTATATAAAATGTGGGGCAGTTTCTTCGGCCATTCGAGTTGCTGCGGAGGCAAGTGCGTGGAACCTTGTTTGGCGCGCTGGGTCCTCCTCACCCACTCACGCTCTGCACGCAGCTTCCATACTCGAGAATGCTGGACAGACAGAGCAAGCCATTGCTTTGTATCATAAAGCAGGTAATTTCTATAACTATAACTTTTCAAATATTAAGTAGTTACCATGATCTAATAACAGAGTGAAGCTTTTAAACTTTTAACTTAACGAAATGCTTTAATAGACTAATCAGAAACATAAAATGTAACGATCTATCTTTATATGACCGGATTCGTCTGATTATTATTAGAAACAGCATTTTAAGCATACATACTTATCTTATCCTGACCAGGTAAAGTTCACATGGCGTTAAAGTTAGCAGTGAACAGCGGTGACACTAACGCAATGATCGCAGCAGTAGACGCTCTTGGCGATAAAGTGGATCCAGAGTTAGCTAATACGTTGGCTGCACACTTGAGACAAGCAAATCAGCACTCACACGCTGCGGCATTGCTAGCAACCGCCGGAAAGGTTAGAAACTTAATTGTTTTGATCTTCATTTATAAACTAAGTACCTACTTATTTCTTTTAATGTTTCATCATTATCAGGTTTTTATCGATGTACCTACCTAGGCAATGGGCACGCCATTGAAATATTGCTCTTAATATCCTCCCATTAACTACTTGTATTTTTATTCTTTGAATAATCTTCTCTCGCGCCTTTCGCATTTTGCTCCATTTCTTGCACTGTTCCTTCTCTCTTAAGTGTCAGTCGGTTTCTTAAACATATGCCTTTTATTTTATTTCTCAACACAGTCACTCTGATTTCAGTACGAAGAAGCTTTAGATATAGTAGAACAGATTCCAACACCTCTAACTGAAGAGCTGAGTGAGAGGTTAGCAGCACCGGCGGGTACCACAGGCAGGGATGCACTCCTCAGGAGACTGGCTGATGTTTTAGGAGCCCGTGGTCTTTACCATCAAGCTGCTAAACGATTGGCTCATGCTGGAGACAAGGTACCCCATCTTTATGCCTTCGAATGATTTAAAAGATTGAATAAAATTTGCATAACGCTTGGTAATCTTACAGTGGATGAATCGGTTAGTAAGCGGCAGTTATGTTATGTTTATCGAAAGGTTTTGTTTTCCTTTTTTTAATATTTTCTTTGATATTCAATAATAACGACTTATGCATTTAAGTACCGCCTACAATACACAATATGCTCATTGTTGCCTTAAAATATAAGACACAATAAATATCATAATGACAAGTATATAACGACTAGCTACTCTCACGCGGTTTCACCCGGTGCTCGGCTCTATTTAATCGTAGCGTGCGTGATGTTTTATAGCCTATAGCACTCAGGACCATTGTAGCTATCTATAAGTAAAAAAATTTGGCAATCTGACCAGCGATTTCAAAGATTACCCCCTACATACGAACTTTACCTCTTTATAATATTAGTATAGATTTGGCCAAACTCTTTAAAAAAACTTTTTAGGCTGGAGCAATGCGATGGCTGATGCGTTCAGGAGATGCGGATCGCATTGCAACCTTCGCAGCAGCTACTCGTGACCGTAACGCTCAATTGATGGCAGCCGACTACTTGCGTCGCCGCGCGGACTGGCGCACTAGACCTGATCTCATGAGGCACATACTACATTTTTACACCAGAGCTAAAGCCTATGGGAAACTAGCGGCCTTCTACGCTGAATGCGCCAAAGTCGAAGTTGATGAGTATGAAGTAAGTATACATATATATTTTTAGAGTAACATAGGTACGCTATTTTTAAAGTAATCTGTAAGTGAATTAAATCTCCATCAGTCCTGAGCGTTATAATTACTGGTCATCATAATTGTTTATGGCAATTAATATACCGGACTAATTCCATGCTTGCTATGATTATGTTATTTCGTTTCGTTCTTTACTTTGTTGTGTTATCTAAAGAAATAGAGCATGTTATCTTTATCATTATTGGTATCTTTTTCATTGCATTAACAAAATGCATTTTTCTTTTCGTTTTGCAGAACTTTGATAAGGCTTTGGATGCGCTCAAGGAAGCTATTAAATGTTTGGCTAAAACTTCCGATACTGATACAGGTATGTAATAACATCGAAAAACATCATAGACAAGAGACTCGTTATGCCGAATCTTATTCAAATAAATCAACTTGGATTTTTTTCTAGGGGCTCAAACAACAGCGCTACAAGAGCAAAGTGCAATAGTCAAACGGTTCATGGATGTCAAGAAAATGTTGGAAACAGGAGAAATTAATCCAGGTAAGTGGTTCTTGTTCATGCGGTAAAACGGGGTGAATACCTAGATACAAGAATAGATGTTTTCCTAGTATCTATTCCTCTCTTCTATGTCTTCACATCTCGAATTCTATTCACCCCGTTTTACGGTATCTAATGTTAATTTTAATTTCAGAGTATCCAACATTTTCCATTAATAATAACTTTTTTTAATACTACTTTTATAAAAAAATGGCTTGCACATACTTCTTTCTACAATTTTCTATTTTAAGCAAACTTTCAGAAGCAATGTTATACTTGAACTACCTATCAAAATATTAGATTTTGGCAATACCAAACAATGTTCGCAGGGGTTGTCGCTGGTCAACAACTTCTACGCGCTGTGACCGGTCGTCCAGGGTTGATATCAGAAGAGAAAGTTCTGCGATTACTCTTACAATATGCACCTAACCACGCCGATGCCCCTCGTAAGTACAATACAATTAAGTTTAGACGATAGATAACTGCACTGGACTATACCGCAATCGAAAAAATTAGCTTCGTTCTGAACATTGTTTTTTATTATGTAATAGGTTGGCAAACGAGCAGACGGATTACCTGATGGTAAGCAATCTGCGTCGCCCATGGACACCCGCAACGACGGAGAAGTTACGAGTGCATTGTCGACCTTTTGGGAATTTGGAGATTTTGGGAAAGGGAACGGATTGGGGTAGGGGAAGGATTGGGCGTCCGGTAACCTCACTCACACGGCGAAACACAACGCTGTGGTTGTTTTACGTCAGTTTCCTGTGAGGCCGTGGTATCACTCCGGTCGAGCCGACCCATTCGTGCTGAAGCATGGCCACACTTAAAAATTGTATATAAATGTTGTATTCTCCTGAAATAAAAAATATTTTAATTTATCTCTGAGTACAGCTACAATCAGCTTACAGCTATAATTAATAAGACCTTTTTTTGTTTCAGGTTTTGAAAACCAACTTAAAGCTCTACAGCAGCAACCAGAAGAACATAGTTTGAGTCCAGATTCGACAGATCACAGTATTGAAGAAGTTGTTTAAAATTATAATGTTTTAAGTTAATTTAGAAATCCGTCCATTCCATGACATTAATCCGTCCGTACTTGTTGTATTAAATAAGTTTTATTACCTAGGTACTAGAAATAAAGTAATAGTAACGTTTATATTATATTTATTTATGTTTACATTTTTGTACCAACCTGCAGTTGTTTTAGTATACCCTGGGCAAATCTAGTTCACTGTTCTGTGCTTTGAATACTTATTTAAACTTTTTTAGACATTGCCCCAACTAGGATGTTTTCGTGCCATGGGTCATGGCTGCCTTTACAACATGATTATATAATAAATGTTCTGAGCTGCACACAAATATAAATCCACATGAAAATATGAAAATTTCTGCCGTTGCGGCAATAATTATTATTAGTTTTACGCAGTTTGCTGAGTGTATGTTAAGTAAAACATGTTTGGTCCTTATTAAACGATTTATTTACCTATCATTTAGTTAATGAACCCACAACACGTTGTGGAGCAGCCATCTAATTTAACGAGAGCTCAATGTAATAACTCTTAACAAATGTTAAGAGTAAAATAGGAGGTTAGATACACTGAAACCCAATTAGTAATATTATTATGGCTTTCACATTTCTCGGTATAAAATAATTGCCTCCATTTTAGAATAACTTAAAATAAAAGATAATTAACTGAAAAACTTTCGTAGTTAGGAACGGACAAACTAAACAGCTGATCGTCAAAATTTGACATTCACATTGACAAGTGACATCTAACCTCAAATGTTTTGCATTAATTTGTGATTTTTGTAATTATTTCTACGAAATAGGTAAAACGGCTACTATTTATCAATGAAAATAATATAATTGACAATGGTGAGACTGATATATAACGTTAGGAGTCTATTTTCTGTTAATTCACACAGATTTCCAAGGTTTGTCTCTCACACAAGTTTCGATGTATTTCGTTAACTTTTGTGCAGAAAATAACGTATATTTTTACGTTTTCAGAATAGTATCACGCCGTCTGAAAAGTTCTGATGCGTCAGACAACAATATAGATGTGAAAAAGATAAGAAACTTTAGTATTGTCGCTCACGTCGATCATGGCAAAAGTACTTTAGCGGACAGACTACTCGAAATAACTGGTATTATAAAACCCGGAGCTGAACATGCACAGGTCTTGGATCAACTTCAAGTAAGTACATATGATCAAGACCAATATAAAGCTGCACTAGGTATAAGAAAATTTAAATAGTGCACAAGCACTTACAGCGTGAAATAATAAATGCCTTTAGTAGTTCTCTCAACTATCAATTTCCTAAAATATTAACATTATTAAGATACTTTTGTCTCCAAGTAACAATAAATTTCCTTATTTTACATACTAAAAGTATGTATAGTTAGTATTTACATTATAGAATTTAATAAACAAAACTTTGTACTCCTGCTTCTACAAATTGACACAAACTTTGTTACAGGTGGAAAGAGAAAGAGGAATCACAGTGAAAGCTGTTACTGCTTCTCTAAACTACACATACAACAATGAAAAATACTTGCTCAATCTCATAGACACACCTGGTCATGTTGATTTCTCCAATGAGGTAATATTTGAGATAATTTTGCATTAATAAGTTAATTTAGTCTTTGTAAAGTCTATAAATTATTTAAAAAATCTATGATTCAGGTTGTTAGAAGTATCACAGCATGTCAAGGAGTTATAATGTTGGTAGATGCAAATGAAGGAGTACAAGCACAAACAGTAGCAGTTTACTCATTAGCTAAAAGAAACAATCTTCTCATAATACCAACTTTAAATAAAGTGGACTTACCCAGAGCTGACCCTGAGAAAGTCAAATCACAACTGCAGTCTCTTTTTAAGATTGAACCGGAAAGTGTATTGAGTATTTCAGCTAAAAAAGGTTGGGGAGTGAAAGAATTGCTGGAAGCTGTTATCACAAGAATACCCCCTCCATCAGTAGACACTAAGGGTCACTTTAGAGCGCACATAATTGATACATGGCATGATAAGTATAGAGGAGTGCTCTGCTTGGCATATATTCATTCTGGTAAAGTAACCGTGGGTCAGGCAGTGAAATGGAAGTCTGATTCTAAGCCTCAAACAGTAAAGTTTCTTGCCATGTTGCGACCAAATGAAGAGCCTATTGATGAGGCTGTAGCAGGCCAAGTTGTTATGGTAGGTGAGTGACTTACAATCCATCCATACTATTATTTACCTCTTAATGTAAAAGTGGGGATGTTTGTAACACTTTCATGTAAGAACTACTTGACCAATTATCAGAAAATGTCGTAAACATATTCTTGAGGCACAAGAAGTACCTATATTTTTTTAGAATATATTTATACTGTTCAGCAGAAAAATTGGATTTGATGTGGGCAAATTCACGGATGAAAGTTAGTTCCTTTATATTTGCGTAGATTTGACGACACTCACTTCGTATTCCTTGTTCTTTTTCCTGTCCAAAATTTCTTCATCATTACAGTAAAAACATAGTAAGACCTTAGATATGGTATTTTGTTTCACTGTCTAAAAAGTAGACACAATTTTTAAACTTTAAGGCAGTTAAAACTTAAAAACTGAAATCCTCCATTTCTCTTTTACAGTACCAGACTGGGGCCGATACGTGGTACTCTCATTTGTAACCACTAAACAATTTGATTTATAGAGCTATTTTCTTTTAGGCTGCGGTCCAAAAGGTGGCGGTAGTGTCGGTGACCAATTATTAGCCAAAGAACTAGCAGACAGTGACTCAGGGTCATCAGTACCACCAGTGAAGCACATGGTGTATGCAGGCATCTTTCCAGCAGACCAATCGCAGCACCCACAGCTGAGTGATGCTATCAAAAAATTAGCTTTGAATGATTCTGCAGTTGCTGTCACTCCTGATTCTAGGTAACTGTATACGAATTTACCTACAATATAAGCTTAAGCCTTTGTTACAAGGGGGTAGGACGAAGGCCACCTAGTCTGATCCCAACATTTTAAGATATTCATGCATCTAGCCATAAAGTAGTTAAAAACCATGTAAAGTAAAAGGAAAAATATCGTTATGGTTAGAAAAAACAGCATATAACAGTAACTGTATTATATGACCCTTGTAGGTACATATAAGTACAGATATAAGGGGGTAACATTATAAAGAGGTAAAATTTGTAAGTTTGTAGGTAGGGGGTAATATTTGGAACCGCTGGTCGGATTGTTAAAATTCTTTCACTGATAGGTAACTACAATGTTCCTGGGTGCTATAGGCTATAAAATATCACGCTACAATTAAATGGAGCCGAGCAGCGGGTGAAACCGCGCGAGATTAGCTAGTGTTTAATAAATTACCTACATAGTGATGTTTTTTTTTTTGTTTTGCACATTTTTCGTTTCATCTAACTTATGGTGTAAGTACCTAGTTTGGGAACACGAGAGTAGGTAATGCTTCTGAAAAATTACAATTGGTCTATTACTGATAATGTGTGAGATAATGTTTTTTTTAATGATTATCCTTTCTTTATAGTCCGGCTTTAGGTCAAGGTTGGCGTATTGGTTTCTTAGGACTATTGCACCTTGAAGTGTTCACACAACGCCTACTGCAAGAATATAAAGCCGAAGCCATATTAACTGCGCCTTCTGTGCCTTATAAAGTAAAGTAAGTATGTCAATGTTATTGTCATACCTACTAATTCCTACTAGCATAGCATAACTTGTCTATAATAACATAAGAAAGAGAACAGTTAGCTAAAAAGTAACTGAATAAATTGTATAAACTATTTCATGTATACTTTATTACTGGTGAATTAAATTCTTAAAATAAATATCAAGCTGTTAAAAAATCTGCTATAAATCGCTCTTTAATGTTATTGATTAAATTCTTACATCCATTTTAATATTTTCAGGGTGAAGGGAGCAAAAGCAATAAAACAATACAAAGGCACAGAAGTCGTCGTTACGAATCCTTTGTTATTACCGGATGCTAATAATATTGAAGAATACTATGAACCATTTGTAATAGGTAATACAAATTAGGTACTAATCTATACTAATATTATAAAGAGGTAAAATTTGTAAGTTTGTATGTAGGGGGGTAATCTATGGAAGCACTGGTTGGATTCACAAAATTCTTTTACTTATTGATAGCTACAATGTTCCCAAGTGCTATAGGCTATAAAACATCACGCTACGATCAAATGTAGCCGAGCAGCGAGTGAAACCGCGCAGGAGTAGCTAGTCGAATATAAACCAAAACCAGTTTGACAACCAAACTTTTTACTTACTACACATCTAAACATAAAAATATTGCTCAATGCTCCAAAAATCTTTGGTATTTATCGCCACCACTTCTCGTTTAAAAAGGCAGACGAAATCACATAAGTACCTAAATTTTGATTGTTGTGACTATTTATCGACTGCACGGCTGCGCGGTGGCACTGGCATCGCAACTGGCTGCCACGCAACGAGTTCTCAGGTTCAATTCCCGCACCGAACAACTTTTTGTGTCAACCACAAATTGTTGTTCCGAGCCTGGGTGTGAAATTGTATGTTTGTAAACGCACCCACGACACAGGAGAAAATACAACGTTAAAAAAAAAAGATTACGAATCCCGGCGTTGCTCGAAACTAGTCCAGTATCCTCGAACAGTAAACAGTAAATATTATTTAAAACTAATACATGTTCGTGACTTATGGCATTATATATTTTACAGGGACGATAATAACACCTGTGGAGTATCTTGGAGCAGTGACGTCACTGTGCATAGACCGTCGCGGCACTCCGCTTCCTTCTAACGCAGTGGACGACAGAATGACAATGTTGCAGTACATTCTACCTCTCTCTGAAGTCGTCATTGACTTCCACGACACACTCAAAAGCATAACTTCAGGGTTCGCCAGCTTTGACTACCAGGACTATGGGTTCCACCCCAGTGCTTTAGTTAGGGTAAATTGAATAATTTTTTTTTAGTAGATTCTGTTTTACACGCCCTATGTTTTGATATCCTTACCCATAATCCCTTTGTGTATAGAGTCTGAAAATGCTTTTTTTTTAAGTATTGATTGATTAAGGTATTGAATTTAAATTTCTGGGTTGGAATAGTTAATGTTACTTCTGTATAACGAAAACTCAATTTTTACCTGCTTATCGGATACCAGTGATAAACCCAGGTCCAGATCATATAAGATTTTTTAGTCCACGATGTCACCAAACACATCTAAAGTGCCAGATTAAGACCAATTCAATTTTTCCTATGTTTGCAGATGGACATTCTCATCAATGGAGTATTGGTGGACGAGTTGTCCACAATAGTTCATACTAGTCGGTTAGAGTACAACGCAAGGAGGCTTGCTGAGAAACTTAAGGAAATGATTCCAAGGCAAATGGTACAGGTAAGAAAAGTCATTAAAAAACCATATTAAGTAAAGTTGTACCATACCATGATTTTCTGGAGTCCTTTTCACATCACATCATCAGCCTTGTGCCCATTGCTGAGCAAAGGCCTATTTCACTCAGAGGAAGTTTCACCACGCGTGCTGAAGGCGGATAGGCGATTTAAACCTTAAAATTAAAAATTATAAGTCCAGGTTTCCTCACGCTGCTTTCCGGCATCAGTGGTGTCTAAATAATCATAGAAAGTACATATAACTCGGAAAAGTCAAGTCAAAGTAAAATTTAATGAAAAGATTACTTTTAATGTCGCCACTAACAAAAAAATATTTCTCCAGCATATACAATATTTTAGAGGCTTGATTTTAAATTTTGAAAAATGTTTATTGTTTTTTGATCATTTAATGACTGTATATAAATTGATTCATGTTTAAAACTTAGCTCGACTAGTTTCAAGCTTCGCCGGGTCTCATACTCATGGAACAAATTACTTCGATCAAATCAGATGAATTACTAAAACATTCATTTCCTGGTTTTATTTTTTTATTTTAGGTCGCCATTCAAGCCGTGGTCGGCGGAAAAGTTTTCGCAAGAGAAACTATAAAAGCATATAGGAAGGACGTTACAGCTAAATTGGTAAGCATCAACAATCCAATCAGTATATAAATTTCCAGGTTGTGAGTCTGTCAGTTCCTGGTAAACTGAAAAACTAGGTACTTAACTAATTTTAATGCAATTTCCACCAATGGGTATGATGATTCAAGAGTAAAAATTTTTAGTCTTACAACACGCTTTTTTTTAGTTTTATAATCTGGTGTCTTCTCTCGCCCTGGAAGAATGGGGCTAGAGAAAGTGGAAAATCATCAAATGACTTCTCCCGCCCAGGGCGGGAGGGAGTGACAGACTCTTACTGGCTAAAAACCCCTCGTTCCTTCTCCTGCTCTGGGCCGAGGTCACGGTGCCTCATTGCGTTTACCCCGCAACCCCGGCTGAAAGGGAGTGTAAGACTCCAACTGACTCAAAACCACCCCGTTCCTTCTCTGAGCCGGAGTCGCGGTACATTATTGCGCTTGGCATCGTAGTCGGTGCAGTATCAATTTTTATATCTGCAATTGTACCTGATTTGAATTGTACATGATTCATTAGCATTGTTTGTGTGGTGTTATCGTTTGTTATCTTATCAAATTGTAATTATCTATCACTTAATAGTCAAAATCTGAATTAAGAATATTCCATGTTTACTTCATAAGAATCAACGAAATATAGTAAGATATTAGGTTCTTAAAAATGTTAAGTACTTTTTTCAAAATCGATTTTCGCTTGCTATTGAAGCTCGATTAAAGTATTTCTATTTTACTATTAAATTTTTTTTTTGTATTTTATATTCCAGTATGGCGGTGACGTCACTCGCAGGAAAAAACTACTGAAACAGCAAGCAGAGGGAAAGAAAAAGATGCGCAGTGTTGCCAACATTAGAATACCAAGAAACACCTTTATAGATGTGTTGAAAAGATAATTAATAAATCGATAGTAGATAGTAAAACTCCCTTTCAAGTTTTATTTTATAACGATTAGTTTAAAACAACTAGTGACCCGCCCCAGGCTTAGCACGAGTACAATTCTGATACCTACTAAATTTCTCCACTATTAAATGGATGTTATTATACACAACTGTTCTCGTCAATCACGTGAAATCCCATACGGTACGAAAATCCGTTACGTAGTTTTAAAGATTTAATCATTAGGTACTAGGTACATATGGATATAGGAACAATGAAGGCGGTTGTTCTATAGTATGTAATGATACCTAATTATCAGGGAAAAATAATAGTCACATAGAAAAATATACTTAATTTATTTAAAAAAATTACTTGATTACAATTACAGGACATTGCATGGTTAACAAACATCACAAAAATAATATGATTCTTAAAAAAAATAAAATCTACAGAGCTGCTAATCACCGAATGTAAATAAAAACAGCAGAAGTATAACTAACACTGAACACGAAATATTTCGGAGTCGAGCGCAAATTACTTGAAATTAGATATCACAAAAGTAAAAACAAGACTAAGTCGAATTGAGAACCCCGCCTTTTTGAAGTCGGTTTCTAAACAAATCTTAGACAATTTTATTGTATTCATAATGAACACTTATGACAATAATTTAAATCAGTATTTTAAAGTTTAAAGCAATGTGTTGTGAGCCTCGTCACTTATCTACATAAATATACAGCGATATCAAACTACAGATTTAAAAATAAACTTTTCAAATAAATGATTATAGTACACTGATACAATTAATATTTCCGCTTGGAAGTCAACACGAAGAGATATAATATTCACCGAGATCACAAAGATGAAAACAAAACATCAACTTTGGCATAATACTTATTATACCGAGTATAAAATTCATGTAAATTATCAGGGAAAGGCACGGTATAAGAAGTAGCATTAAAAGTATATATATAATAAGAATACAGCAATCACGCTTATCAAATGAAACAAATAAATTCAACCAATAATCTTGTCCCATCAAGTTATTATCTTTCATGTAGGCAATGTCGTACAAAAGTATGTTTCACATTCTTTGGTTGGTCTTGTTTGCACCACTTGATCAATTCATATCACAAACGTTTTAATTCTACTTGAAGTACTGATTTTAGGTAGTACTTCATACAAAAAATAACAAAACTATTCATTAGAAAAACCAATTAGGTACTACATGTCGGAAGTTGTTGGGAGTCTCGCTGTTTTGATTGACCATGTTAATAATGTATAATAATATCTAGGTGAAAAAGGTTATATAAATAATAATGTCATAACTCTAACATCTCAATAAAGTACTTTTTACTTAACTTTTAGTCTACATAATGCGCAATTTTGCAATAATATAGTAACTAACAAATATTGATCAAAGATCCAGTCTTAAGTTTTAATAAATCCAATTACTCAAAGTTAACTATAATGTGAATGAATTAATATGCAACTGCTAAGCAAAATTTTGAAATATAAAATGTACCTATGAATGAGTAAACCAAAATTGTAAATGATTCCTTTCATTTCATATACCAAATCTATTACTATTATTTTAATTTTAATTTATATATATAAATTAACGATGGTTTTTGTCATATTGGAGTTCTTTTGGATTCAAAAATAATTTAATACTTTAAATTCCTAAACATTTTTGCAGAAAATTTGCCTAAACCATTAAAACAAAACAACATACATAATATTTTTCACATAGATTCTTTAACAGTAAGTCACATACAAGGAATGAAAGCTGTTTGTAATGAATTCCATGAATTTCAATGTGCATTAAAATTTAGTTGATCTAGTGAGTGATATTGTTGTTTCAATGTGATAAGTATGCAATATAGAAGAAGATTCGTACATTGACCATGTGCAACAGACATGACGCGACCAATGATTTGCCTGACCTTCTCCCTTTACCCCCAGACAAATAGCAATGAAGGCTTTTAAAAATGAGTTGAACAAGTACATACGACCAAATGTCGCAATTCCATGAAAAAACATTGATTATATAATTAAATTCCCAAGAAACAAGACACAAATATAACATTATAAAGTTATACCATTATCATGTGGCTTGTTGAACCATGTCTTAAGTTTACGTTCTATTCATTAGTTCAACCAATGTTTAAATACCATTATTGCCATTTGTCTAAGGGGCACCCTCAAGTTAATGCCACCCTGTGACAACAACTAAATGGCTACAACCACAATGTTAATGATTAAATATCTTACACATATTTTGCACCTTCAATGCTTTCATATAAAATCACACAATTCTTGGCCTAAACAACTAATCTAACGTTTTGTATTTTTAAAGTCTTCAATCGTAAAATCTAAGATTTTATAACATGTCACAGAGCAACATAAAGCTCAAACTACAATTAGATATTTATTATTCATTTTGTTGGTCAGGGAATGAATTGTGTAACATAGCACTATATGATAGTTGCCAATACTTGTCTTGTTTATAAATGAGTCTGCCTCCAACATCTAATAACAAAGTAGGTACTTAATGAAAGTGAGTGAATATATGATATGTGATTTTTTTGCATCTAAGTTGCATGGCTAAAGCCAACATGATACTTGAAAATTCAAGTTACATCTCTTCATTACAAATACATCATCATAATTGTATATAATATTTATCTCTACATTGAATGTTATTATAATTATATTTCTATAAATTTCAGGTAGTATCACTAATGAATCACACGAAAAATTCAACAAATATCGCGAATATGAGTTTACAGGAGACAAGCTCACTTATACACTCACGTTTTCGGGTGACAGTTTGTTATTACCTCGTCTTCATTGAGATGTAATGTTTATCTGTCTTCCGATGTCTCCAGGAACTGAGCATAAACATCTCTAGTACACTCGCCCTTTTCATTAAACTTGTATTTGTAATAAGAACCATCAGCACAGATAACTGAAATCAACAAATTAGATATTCATTAACATATTTTATTCATATGTATCATTCCATATTAGAGACAATAGCTACCCACCAATGATGGAACTCTTGTCAACTCCAAAGGCACAGATGCATGGAGGTCCATTGGGGATAGTGAATTTACAAAAACTCCAATTGCTTGAAAAATATTTTGGTAAGAAGTTTACTGTCGCCAAACCGGACTGCTTGTTGAGCTTTTCATCTTCTAGGCTAAACACATGGACTGTGCCGTGATCTGATGTTACACATAAGTTAGTGCTTGAGTGATTAAAGTTTATGCAGTAAATTGTAGCCTGAAAATAAAAATAAATATTCTAAATAATTTTCAGAACTTTCATGTTGTGTTTGAAGATATGTAAAATATTTATTTATTTATATATACTTCATTGTACATGCTACTAAAAATTCTACAAAGAGCAGGCTTATAACAATATGTCTAATCTTAATATTTAGTATTCATTTTATGTTCATCTTGCACCATCATACTGCTAATTGCATTATTTATTACCCTAATATAACACAGAATGAAACTAAAATTTAAGGTCTGATAAGTATTGACTTACCTGGTGTGCTCCTCTCCTGAGCTCAGCAAGCTTCTGTCCAGTGCCTGTATCAAAAACTCTGATGAGCGTGCCTTTAGTGGAGGCAGTAGCCAGCCTGGTGCCACCCACATTAAGAGCTAGGCAACTGAGTGGCGCTTCATGTGCAGCTATCAAGTGACCTTCTGGGGCAGCACTGGCACCTGCATGTGTGGTTAATTCCACCAACTGTACAGAAAACAATTTTGAACATTTATTTCCTCATTTAGATCATTAAAGAATTATACAACAGAAATTGACCAAATTATACATGAAGATATTGCCATAAATTAATATAAATTCATATGTATGTGTTATTTATAGTCAACATATATAATGGCTTAAAGTAAAATAAGGAAAATAAATATGAATTATATTCAAACTTATTATCATGATTTGTTTAGTCTACTGCCCTCTCAAGAATAGGTAGTTTTATGGCGGAAATATTTAAAAGTTATTATGAATATAAAAATCTTACTTTATACAAATTATTTGGAAATAATAGAGTATATTTATCCTATTTACCTGGACATGGCCTGTTTTACGACTGGGGTAGGCAAGCAGTGCATTATTACTGTTTGGGCAGACAACACACAGTCCTCTAGTGTTCTGGCATGTTTCAAACACATGCAGCATCTGAGGCTGGGCCGTAAATGTATAAACTTTTATCAAGTTCTCTGCAAAAAAGGTTTTATTATTACCAGTGCTGACAAGAAGTTGCAATGTTTACAAAATTAATAATCTTGTAATCAAAACATTATTTTATTTACTTATTTCTTAGTCACTGGTTGAAGTTCAAATTCTGATCAGACTATATCTATTATAAAAGAAAAATTATCATTAAAATATGACATAATGGATTGACTTTAACATCTGATAAGTTGATAAAGCTAATACTAATCAGACAAATAAAAAAAAACGAAAGTTACCCAATACAACAACAATGCGGTCTCTTCTCAGCTTCACAGCCTTCACGGGGCTGTTGAAATCGAGTGATATTGCAGAATCTTTTTTTAAATCATCCCAAATTATGACTCGATTCGGAGGATATACGGGGGTTTTACCACCTCCTACCAAAGCCATGTAATTGCATCTAAATAGCATCTCTACGTAAGAAAGACCACCTTCAGCGAAATTCTGTCGCTCTTTTTCCTTAAGTGGGTCGCTATTAAACACCCGAAATCCATTCTCCGTTCCGCAAGCAAAACAACCTGAAGATTGCAAAACAAAAACGTAAACCGATTTGTAAATGAAGCGCACGCAAATGAACAACAACTAGATCAACTCCATTACCTTGATCTTGATTAAATCCCACATATAAAAGCCCGTTACCAAACGTGTTATCCTCAGATAAATTCATTGTGCAGCCTTATCGCAGAATATTTGGACAAAAATATAGTAGCAAAACAATAAAATTATCTCCAATATGCAACACACAACTTTGCGGCGATTTGACAACAAATTTTATAACAGAAGTGCCAACATAAAAATGTGAACTATATAGTGACATTTGACTACCTTTTGTCAAGTGTCACACTGCATTGACATAGGAAATATAAGGACTTGAAATACCTACGAAACAAAGGTGCATACCTACAATCCAAAATTTCGCATAAAATGGCTGCCGTTGCTAGGGTTGTGCCGACTAAGTATTTAACGAGTATCGATACAATTTGAGTATAAGTTCTACGTAGGTATAGCTTTAGGGATTAGCCAGCTGATTAACGGTATTTTTTTATGGGAAATCATCTAATGTCATCTCCGGCACTTTTCGTGACAGACCGTTACTGACTAAAATCAACTCCTGTTCCTACTTTGCCGTCGGCCTAGCTAGAGCCCGGAACCCGGGGTTACCTAGGTCTCTTGATTGGCTAATGATTTTCTCAAGTCGAATTTGTATCCATATAATTCTACGGAAATCGTCTTTAAAAAAAAATAAAAAAACATACAATCGAATTGAGAAACTCCTCCTTTTTTTGAAGTCAGTTAAAAAATAGGACTGTGTTTATGAACAGCGTTTAATGGAATGGTAAAATAGAAAAAGATAGTTTTTGTTAAATGTTTATCCGCCGAAATATGGGGCCCCTTAAATGCGTATGTGCAACACCTGTCGGAATTTGTGATGTGCTCGCGCACAATTTCGGCTCGTCTGATTAAGCGATGATATCTTCGAAACTACATAAGCATAAAATAGATAAGTAGTGAAGTCAATCTTACTGTATGTATCTCACTTTTTATTATTAAGCTTAGTGGTCGCACTGGGATCGCCGCCAACGCTGCTCTGTCAATCGGGCCCGGATAGTTATAAAACATGACAATTTGAACTTCTACTTATGTAACTAAAACCAATACCAAAATACTGACGTCTTACTTTAGCCACACAAAATAGATTATTTAGGATAATATATTATGTTGAATTTTAAATGGGAGATTATATCGATACTTTTCTGGAATGGTACGTAACTATGCCATATTGACATATTATTGTAAACAACAATTTTTTACTTAAACTGTCTCACAGACAGAAATAGAAGTAAATATATATACTTTGGCAATAGATTCAAGTATCCGTAACATTTTTTCTATCTATGTGGATTATTTTAAGTAATATTTGATGAAAACTGTTTACTAACCTATGCAAAGACAATTTAGGTTGATTTTCGTTCTTTTTTGCACCACACTGCACAATACAACACACAGGCATATTGTATTTTTGTTTCACTATATATCTTTGCAGTTTAAAACAATGGTTCTTTGTAATTTACTGGAAAACCGCAATAATTTAAAACATAAACAACCGTTTGACAGCACAACTACCATGAAACTCAGGTACTCTGAGCGCTTAAGATGGCGGACATGGCACTTACCTACAACTTTGCTAATGTCAAAATGATTTGTTGCCATAATAAGCAACAACTTAAATATTGTTGTCCCTTTTGTCTAATACAATTATTGCCTAAGAAAGAGTGAGAAAAAACTATATTTCATAGTTTGTTTCATATTTAACCCATATTTGTATAAGCGGGTATACATCTATAATAACAGGGCGCCTCTATATATTTTCTATCTCAATGGTCACAGCAGATCAGATGTTTTTAATCATGGAGGAACCGGAATTACTTTTCTGTGGTCTAAGTTGTTATTGGAATGTTTATTACCACAGAGAGCTGAGATTAAAAATCCTATGCTAATTCCAGATCATTTCCTTTATAGGAATAAAAATACAACAATACCTACCTTTTCGATACAAACAAAAAATTGAATCTGATACCTTTTTAGCTACATTTGCATGTATAACACACAAGTTTAGCGATATGTGAGTTAGCGAAAATTTTTTATTACATATTGTCTAGCCGCATCCTATTTACATTTGTTTTCACTAATCTTTTTTTTTAAAAACGTTGCCCCACACTTGGATTTTCACCTGTATCGTGGGTGCGGTTACAAACATACAATTTCACAAGCACATGACACCCAGACTCGGAACAACAATTTGTGGATCACACAAAGAGAGCTCCGTACGGGAATAGAACCCGCGACACGTTGCCCAGCCACCGCACCAACCGTGCAGTCGAACTATTGGTTTTCTAGTTTTTACACCCTATTCCACTCGTATTGTTTTCTATAACTGTTCATCTTCACAGCTGTCACTTCTTAATCTATCCCTTCTTTTATAATTTTTCACCAGTTGTAGATATGATTTATCAAACAATTGTTCAGAGGAATAAGCTCTCTTAAAATGTCTTTCCTTATTTACATTCCCACTAACATAAATTAAATGTTACAATGTGGGCCATACTAAAACAATAAATAACTTTAGTTTACTCCTCAGAATACAGAACAATAGTGATACTATACAGATTTGTAACACAGTATTTTTATTTGAGTTATTAAACTGGTGCCATTGAAATAAACTCAACAGTTTAGTCATAGCCAAATAATTTTATCAATAAATAAGATATCTACAAATACAACAAACAATCATTAAATGAAACAAGTTTAATTTATAAGTCGTATTGTATTTTCATTATATAAAATTTACATTATTTTAAGCTAATATTCTTCTTATAGCTTAAATAAATTTATTATTAGGCTTTATTTATACATACAATATGACATAAATCAGTAATTGATATACTTAATACACTCAACTTACAATATTTAAGTATAGTAATGTAAATTTATTATGAGCTTGCAACTTGTTTTAGAGGTCCTTCAAGATATTGTGCTATAGCATTAATTTTTTCCTTTAGGATTCCAAAGCCAACAGTTTCTTTTGCATAAAGGCACAGTAACAAATTAGCCACTTGTGTGATGGCTATTTTTCCATTTAAACAGTCAACCAATATAAGATGTAGCTTGTCCTCTTTGAAAACATTTCTTCCGTGTTTTTCGTACGCGGACCAAACGTTGCTCGCGATTGCTGCTGTAACTCTTGCATCTTTGTCATTATAACCAGAGTAAGCCAAAAGTGCTCCTTGATGATTCAAAAGCCTGCAAAATAAACACTTAATGAAAAATATTTTTATTTTAGATGATTAGAACAACTTACAAATCCTAGTATTATTGTGACACCCACAATGTGTTTTCCACTCCACCTGTATTTGCCTGGCTAAGAACTTGCGTCAATGCTTTTGGTTTTAACATTGTTGTTTCTTTTTTAGAATAATATTTAATATAGGAGACCAAAAACACTCGATATAAATTAATTTAAAACAGTAGACGATAAGATTGTAAAATTTGTAAATACAATGTTTTTACTTTTTGACTGTCATCTGTCACTTGGAAGTTTGTTTTGACACGTGCTTGACATGTCAAACATTTTTTTTATACCTTAATATTTGTCTTTTAAGAACAAATAACTACGTCACGTACATAAGACTGCGGGAAATAGGTACAAGTTCTAATCCAAAAAGTATGCTACCTATCTGGTAGGTATTTAATGTTGGGGTCTGGCATAGTAGTTCTCAACTAAAAAGATAAAGTTCAATGGGGTCTATGATGTATTAAGTGAGGTCTGACTCGAAGAAGGAGAAAGAGCCGGGTGGTTTTAACTCAGGAAAATTTCGACACTCTCAGTCGCCGAGAGCGGGAGACGTCATTGTATGATTTTTCCTAAGGAAAAAGGCACTGTAATTTGTAATTATAGTTCTAAGGCTAAATCTAAATCCATACTTAAGATTATAAAGCTGTAGAGTTTGTTTGAACACGCTTATCTCAGGAACTACTGGTTCGAATTGAACAAATGTGTCCATTTATCGCGGACGGCTATAAAACATCACAATACGACCAATAGGATCTAAGCAGTGGGTGAAACCGCGCGAGAGTACTAGGTACTCTCTCGTGTCATATAAGTCTAGTGTTTTAGTAAGTATTACAACTTTACTTTATAGTCTTGGTTCAAGGCGTGGTTCAAGGGATCCAAATTATTTAACAATAATAATAAGGGTTATCTTTTAACAAATAATAATAATCAAATAAACTTAAACATTTTATTTTTACAACATACATTATAGATACAATGTTATCAACGCATTTTCTTTTGCTTGATCAAATAATTTCTAAAGGCTATTTGTTTATCCTTAAAAGATCTCTTTATTTTACCCTTAGCCTTATGTTTTACCATCTGGTAGTTTTTGGTCTTCCTCTTTTCCCTATTTGTTTTAGAGCAGTGAATATTCTTCCTTCTATCTTTGTACCCATATTTTTCGCGTTCTTCACGCCCCTTTAGAACACTATCTAACCTTGCGTCTTTATCATGTTTCCTCTTTTTGTGGATGTTCTCAATAGCAGACAGTTGTACAAGTTCTCCAGATTCATTTTCTTCTTCTATAACATTACTTTTACGTTTAGTACCTGTTACCGCTTTTTTAAGCTGTGCTGCTTCAATTCGTTTGAAGTCTTCATCAGTAAAAATTGTTTCCATTGCTATTTCTCGAGCACTTTGCACCTTTTCTTCTTTACTCTTTTTGTCAAGTGATTTACGCTTAGCTTTTAAGATCTTCCTATCTTTAATTGTTTTGTTCGAATCTTTTTCGTTGCCTTCTTTATCATTTTCTTCTTTGCCATCATCATTTTCACCATCCTCATTATCTTCTTCTTCTTCGTTCTCCAGTTCCTCTTCCTCACCTTCTACTTCTTCCTCACTACCCTCTTCTTCATTATCACTTTCATCACTATCAGATATATTGATTTCAGAATCAGAAGATGCAACATCAACCCACTCTTCACTATCCGAGTCATCTTTCTTTTTATTTGACTTTTTAGAGTTCTTTTTTTCAGAATCTTTGATTTCTTCTTTCTCCAATAATACCTCAGAGCCAGGTATATAATCTTTAATTTCCATTTCACCATACTTTTTGTTTTTCAATTCTATAGAAGCCTCTGATGGTCTGCCTCTATCTTTTTTGTGTAACATATCAGGCATTGATTGTCTGTACAGTTGAATCAAAGATCTTGCAGCCATCATCACAGACTTTTCTTTGTAAGATTTGTACTGAACTAAATCTCTGAGTAAATCTTCACCAATAGCTAGTGGGCATCTGGCACATATTTCTCTTACAGCATTTAAACCAACTGCCATGACATCAGTGGAATTTCTTTCAGTGATAAAATTGTTTGCTATTGCTTTCATAACAGGTTCTAACACCTCAGGTGGTATTAATTCATGAGATGCTTGAGCTGCGAATAACAGTATCCGAGTAACTTCTCGCTGATGAGGCAGAAGTAACCTTGCAATAAATGGATAATAATTGAACAAGAACAAGTCATGTAAACCTATCAATCTTGAAATAACATCCAATAACATAAGTTTAACTTCAAATCTGTCATTAGAAGATTCCAACTTTTTAAATAACTTCTCAGCAAATCCCTGGGGATTGTTTATTAAATGTAAAGCAGAGAAGTTAAATACAGGAGCTTTTTGTTTCCTCTTCTTAATCTTTTTAGCCATTTTCTTAACTTTCTCCACCATTTTCTCTCTTTTCCTTGTCTTTTTATTGAATTTATTTGAAATCATAGTATCTCTGGGATCTATTTCTTCCTCACTATCAGAATTTTCTTCTTTTTCCTCCTCATCCCTGCCCAAAAAGAACTTTAGTGATGCAACCATAACTTTTGTAATTTTTGAGAAACAACCTATGTCAGCTATTATATTCACAGTTTTTTGATCATTCCATATGTTTTTGTGATATAATTCAACCAATATATCGAGTGACAATTTTGCTGCTTTTGGATTGGAATCTTGTAACATTGAGAACATAAAGTTTTGCAATGTTGAATTAAACTTCATATCCTTGTGTTTCATATTCATGTTTTTGATGTCTGTAATGATGTGTGTCTTCAAGAACTCTCTTAAATGCTTGTCTTGGCATTTCAACAGAAGGAAAAATAGTTCCAGCAAATCAAAGGCTGTGATGAAATTCTTGTTTCTTAATAAAATAAGACACTTACACAAAGAGAGGCGCATATCATTGTGAAGAACTGTATTATGTGTCTTCAAGATATCCACTATTTTCTGAGGAAATAACTTCATTTCTTCAAGATAGCACTGGGCTACTTGTGCCAGGAACATAGCTTGTTCATCTAGCTTTTTGTTGTACTGTGTGGGATTCAAATTGAAAATTTCTAAAGTAGTTTCAAAATGAGCAAGTTGTTGATGAAACTCTTCTTTGTAGGAGTCCGGATCCCTCTTGATCAAGTTTTGTAACTGTGTCAGATTGTTTGGCAACTGATTATTGTGGCGCACCATTTTGAATATTTATATTACTACAGGTTTACAAATCACCAACATGCATTTAGTTAACTAAGGATTGAATTGCCATTTCACAATATTACGATTTTAACCTCTGTTTACTGCGCCATGCACTCAAGCACTTGACGTAGGAAAATAACCTCAAAATGAAAACAATAAACAAATCTGCCACATGATGTAAGTTTTTTTGTAATAATTACAAGGCTTTTGGTAGTTTAGGCGATTATTTGTTTTGTTATATTTGGAAACAACTAATAATTAGACACGTAAAACTTAAAACAACATTAAGAACAGTGCGTATAAGTCGCAAGCAAGTCTAGACTATAGAATGGAAGATATATTGTATTATGTCCTAATTGCCATTGTTTTATCAGATTCCGGAATATGGCATGGCGTAGGTTATGAGCCCATATTGCCGTCTATAATATTATGGTCTTAGTATGAGCTGACCCTAAATAATAAAATGTAATATTGACGAACATCGTGCAAACGAAGAATTCGTTGGTTATCATTAATATTCACTCAACTATAGAGGCATTACTGCTACTACTCGACTAAAATTAAGCAATATTGAGAATCAGATTCTAAAAGCAATTGGATTGCTGATCTTTGTAGTAATTTCCTAGATATTGTACTAGGAAGTTACTATGGAGAAGACTGAGAAACCGAAGTAAATAAAATGAAACCTTCTAACTGGAAATAAAATCTAACTAGAATCTGATATTCACAACCTTTTTCTTAAAAACACATTTCTTGTTTGGTCTTGCCACAAAAATAATCGTTATATTCGAGGTTTTAATTAAAAAGTTGTGTCAATTGTGTCATGTTAATCAGCCACGTCATTTTTGCTTGAATGATAGAGTGTACGCGGCGTAACTGAGATAAGCATTTCTGTTAAAAATGAATATTTTCCGTTTACTTGGTGATTTATCCCATCTTCTAGCTATCATAATATTACTACTTAAAATATGGAAAACCAGATCATGTGCGGGTAAGTTACATAGGCTGTGAAATGATTCGTTCAACCGGCACATTTTGGTATGTATTTTCCAATCAAAACTCTAACAATTTGGTTTTCGTTTTCAGGCATATCAGGAAAGTCGCAGATACTTTTCTCTGTTGTTTACACGGCGCGTTACTTGGATCTGCTTACCAATTACATCTCTGCATATAATACGTTTATGAAGATGGTGTTCATTATGGCCTCATACGCGACTGTTTACCTGATGTATGTCAAGTTCAAAGCGACATATGACCACAACCACGACACTTTTAGGATTGAGTTCCTGCTGATACCTACCTTGGTGTTAGCTTTGTTGATAAACCATGAATTCACAGTAATGGAGGTTAGTATGATTTATGTATGAAGTCACACTACATTGTACAATTTACTATGTAGCTATGTCATGTTGTAAATATAGTCAAGTATGGAATGTGATTGTCATGTAGCAGATATAAATAAATGATGAATTATTATCAGTATTGATGTTATCAAATTGTTAATTACAAGTTGTTTATTCTTTATTGCAGGTACTATGGACGTTCTCTATTTACTTGGAGTCTGTAGCAATTTTACCACAATTGTTCCTGGTGTCAAAGACTGGAGAGGCTGAAAGTATTACATCCCACTACTTATTTGCTCTTGGATCATACAGAGCTCTCTACCTCTTGAACTGGGTTGGTATATTAATATAAGTACAAGCAACACTTTACATTCAATTGATAAGAACTTGAATCTTTAATTTATTTCTTGTAAGTTTTTGAATGGTTCTGCAACATACAAATTAAAATTTCTACATAAGTTTGTGCTAACATTTAAAAGTTCTGTAGTAAAAAGTATTTAAAAACTTTAACCAATTTGTTGAATGATTGGTAAACATTATTATTTTTTAATAGCCATTTCTTTATTATACATTTATTGACCTACTAGTTGGTATGTATAGTTTAAAATTATTGGAATAGAAAGTTTAATAATTTTTATGTTTTCAGGTGTACCGCTATGTTGTGGAGGACCACTATGAGCTGATTGCCATAATTTCTGGAGTTGTGCAAACTGTGCTGTACTGTGATTTCTTCTATCTTTACATTACAAAAGGTAACCAAAATGCATTTAACTTTGTACTGCTTCTTCCAAATTCAATCATAAGCTTAACATTTACACACTATTTCTATAAGTTCATTATGATGCCTTACAAGAAGTGTGTCATATAATCCAATTAGTTTCTTTAAAAACATGCATAACAAATATTTTTTCCTTTTTTCTAGTATTGAAAGGAAAGAAACTGCAGTTGCCGGCCTAAGCCAGAAAGCAAGAGGATTGCATTAAATTAATCTGACAGTTACGTCTGTGAATATATCTGTGTGAGCCAATAAATTACCTAAGATCTAGTTGTACAAACATTACCGGTATTGTACTGTTGTGAAAATGTTGATTTACTAATGGCAATTATGTGTGATTGTGTATCTTCATTAACTTGTACAGCCACAAGCAATAATAAATGGTATTTTGCATCAAAACCAGTCTTAATCATGTCTACTTAGTGCTATCACCAACACTGTACTTTATTGGCTACTGTACATAATTATTCAAAGTTTTCTACAATACTTTCTTTTCCCTGCCTTGTATTTATTAAAATGAATTCATCACACAAATAGATTGTTATCATAAGCAGTCTTATAAGAGCAATAATATTCCTTGCCTTCCATTTTACTTAATCAAATTATTAAATGTAGTCACCCTGATTACATAAAATCTAGGCTAAAATTCTTATATGCATTCCTGTAACAAAACTAGTATATCTGACAAAGTAATTTAGGAATTTGGAGGTAAACTAAATTAAGTAATTACATGACTAGAGGCTTTAATTTTCTCATTTTTTTTCAATAATTGCTTTAATTCAGGTTTCTCATAAATTAAGATGAATGATAAAAACAAGTAAAATTTATGCTTGTGCTGTTAATGTTAGAGTACTACTGGTTAGTTTGAGGAATCAAAGTTTGTATGATAGTTATATTTAAATAGTAGAATACATTTAATATATTGGCATAAACCACTTTTTATTGTTCGTGACTGTACTTAATTTTAACTGCAGTTAACCTGTCTAGTTATTGACAATATTTTCAGTGCAATTTAATTTTTAATAGCCAAACAATTGTGACGCAAATTGTTAAATACCGTTTTAACAATGTATTGTCGAGGATATGATTTTGTATCTTACCCTTAGATTATATGAACTTTGATTATTATAATATTGTATTTGTCATTTCTTCCCATTAGGTAAGATTTTCGACATTTTGAATACTAGGCAATGCTTAATTGATAAGGGTTTAAAGTAACTTCTATAGTTCGTATTTGCCAGTAGTTTTATACATTTTACGGTTTATCTGTTTCGCACTATCTCAAATTATTTTGATGAGTTAACTGAAACCAAAATTAGTATTACATGGACTTGTGTGCAATTTGTCATGTCGAAGTATTCTCTGCATGACATTTCAATGTATGGGATGTCAATTATACCATGTATTAAACACTCCTTCCATACATTGTCACACAATTTATTAAATAAATATGTATTTAAGTGTACAACATTGTTTATTTTTCTCCATTTGGATATGTGAACAAGAAAGAAGACATGCACGCTGTATGTCACTTAATATATTTTTCATTGTTATATTTTAGCTTATTATATTATCCATAAAATGTATTATAATTTTCTTCCATTTTTATTTTGCCTATTAACTGTCATATTAAAGATCTGCATTTCATGTGCGGCTTTAATCCACTTTATATGTAGTTCTATTTGTAAATTATTTAATATTGTAACTTACTCTCTTCCCCATTATATATTCGATATTATCCAAAACACTAGATGGTTAGTGTTCACATTGAGTCATAACTGAACGTCACTAAATTCAATACAGATTTAGATCAAACATTGCGTTTTATACAGTTTAGTCTTAAGACCCTATTGTAATGTCTTGCTATATAAGAATTATGAATAAATAAAATTTGGAAGTGAAGAGATGTTTTTTATCTCTTGTCAAAACGACCAATAGAAGCATAATTTATTTTTAAGTTGTTCACAGGTGTGTTTTACAGTGTTACAAACTTGGTATTGTAGAAAAGATTTATGTTTATTAAACCCAAGTTAAAGGGTCATGACAATGTTGCCATCAAAATTGGCCTACAACTCTGAGATTTTTTTGGACAATGAGGTAAGAAAAATAGGCCTTTGATTTTCTTAAAAAACGTATAGGTACAGACTATCTATCTTAAAAAAAACAAAAATGTTGTCATACATAACTGAAGAGTTATCAACAAGCATGTGACACAATGCACGATAGTTGCTCATTAACGCGCTCTTAGGCACTCTACCTACCTACACTATAACGGCTACTATGCCACAAATACAACAGAAGTAGTAGTTTGTTTTGTTTCCCAATAGCATGCCAGGGTCACCTCAGTCACCTTACGCCCGTGCTCATTGTTATAACTCCATTGCTAAAATGATGTCACACTATAAATTTCTCAAAAAGACTGTAGAAATGCACATACAGAACATTATCCACTAGGTAATTGGTGTATCCTACGCGAAATCCCACACTCCATGCAGTTTGCTACCGATAAATATTTTGTAGACTGAAACCCGGGAATCGAACCCGAGAAACCTTATTCCACAGCCGCACTACAGACATTCAACCTACGAAACGGTCCATAATATCTACTACTAACTACTCTCGCGCTGTTTCACCTGCTGCTCGGCTCCATTTGATAGTAGCGTGATGTTTTATACCCCATAGCACCCAGGAACATTGTAGCTATTTATCAGTGAAAGAATTTTGGCAATCCGACCAGCGGTTCCAAAGATTACCCCCTACAAACAAACTTTACTTCTTTATAATATAAGTGTAGTTTATGCTTCGAATTATTAATAAAATTATCTTAAGGGGAAGGTCATTGAACTAAAATTTAGATTATCTGCAGCTCTAAATATATTCAGCTATCTAACTAAATAACCTGTTTGCACTTATTAAAATGTAAAGCACACATAAGATACCTATAAGAATGGTTCTATTTTTCTTTTAGTACCTATCTATCTAAATAAGACTTTTTACCTTCATTTTCAGCTTCAAATTTCGGTATCAAAAGTACCTATGACACCCACATTTTGTAATAGAATGTATTAGTAGACTGTAGTTTCGGCAATAAATGTGTCTTGTGTTAGGAAGTGCGATTTTAATATGTATTGTATGTGCCTATTGTTTTTTATAATATTTAATTTTATCCTGTCGTGTGTGTTCAGGCATAACAGAATTATAGCAGTGGTAAGACCCCTTTTGTGGAGTAGCTAGAGAGAGTCCTCAGTGCTTAGAGGACATGGAAGCTTCGGTAGGTACCTACCTGTTTCATATCCGGAGGAGGAATAACCCGAGTGTCGGCATTGTGTCGACCCTCTGGAAGACATGGTGGAGCATTCGGTGGTGGAAGGCATACCACCTTGGTTGGCTGCTTGGCTTGGGCTGAGCACCCGACTGACGACCTCTGAGACTGACTGGCTGACGAGCTCTTGCGTTCGGTCGTAGTTGAGGCCATGGTCAGAGCGAAAAGAACTGGGAGCTCCTCTTTCTGCGAGTAAGTGATGATCGCAAAGGGAGAGGCGGAGCGTGTGAGACTGTGAACTGTCCTCCTCACGACCCAACCGCCGCAGCAGAAGCGAGCCCCAGACTATATCACATTATACCTATATATTATGAGTCAACTAACACCGAGTTTTTAGGTCTTAGCTGTTCTGGGTACCCTATCAGAACAACAAATTTTGGAGTTCCGTGGGTAAATCTAACCAGCGATAATTTGACGTGTTTGCATGTAGATAGGCTTTTTTTTTGTGAGGGGAAAATCATCAAATGACTTCTCCCGCCCAGGGCTGGGCAGGAGGGAGTGTCAGACTCTTACTGACTAAAAACCCCCCTGTTCCTTCTCCTGCTCTATGCCGAGGTCGCGGTGCCTCATTGCGCTTACCCCGCAACCCCGGGCATGTACATAGGCTGCGTAGCTGGTAAGTATCTATAACTCTTCTATGTAGCACCAATTTCGATTCCTTAATCGATTGCAACCAATTAGCAATATTTTTTTAAAGAAATTTCTCGTAAACTATAGTGAGCTGTAGAACTAATTAACATCACTGTTGGGTGGTAAATCAATCACACCAACATATTATTTATGGTTATGGGTATATTGCACTTGAAAGTAGGTAGGTGCTATACATGTAGGTACTGTTTCCTATCATAAGTAGGTAGGTACCTACTATTTCTCTTTATCAAAATGGAAGAAAAGCATGGTAGCGTAGCGGTTGTGTTTTATGCATCGATTATATGTGATTATTAGGTAAGTACTTACCTATGCCGTAAAACAACATTCAATCAACATTTAAGTGAATAACAGAAACTGGAACGTATTGTTTATAAATTATCCTCTTTAACAGAAATCACAGACCACAAACACAAACATACGTAAGTAGAAAAAAAATACCGTACTGCTTCCTAAACCAATGGAGCCTATGCGCTCTTTAAACTAGTGAATAAAAATGGGCAGCGCTTCCTAACAACTTCTTTTAATGTGTTAAGGAAAATAAACAGCTTTTGAGTTTAACAAGTTTATTGATCTTTGCTAAATACTACTATTACATAAAAAATCATGTGTCACGAAATGTTAACGACGCATACTTACAAAAATCTTTTAGGTGCACTTGTTCCTGAAAAATAAAAAGTAAAATAAACATAAAGTGTTTCTTCAGAGTGGATAGGCTGAGGCAGAACTTAGATAAAAGTCGCCCACTTTCACCAGTTATATTACACTAGCTATTCTCGCGCGGTTTCACCCGCTACTCGGCTCCATTTAATCGTAGCGTGATGTTTTATAGCCTATAGCATTCAGTAACATTGTAGCTATCTATCAGTGAAAGAATTTTAGCAATCCGACCAGCGATTCCAAAGATTATCCCCTACATACAAACTTACAAATTTTACCTCTTTATAATATTAGTATAGGTTTATGTATATTTGAATAGGAAGTCACTGTCGTGAGACATACTGCATTATACTGAAAATAATGACTCAGTTGCGCGACGTCGCCGTCGCCGATCCTCTTGAATAAGAGTTCCGTTGTAACTAGAAACTAGGTAAAGCTTTTCTCAGACAATTCACGTGAGCTTGTTGTTATTCTCAACAAACATTATATGTAGTATAGTACTATAGGGCGAGGATGTAGCACAGAAATATGGAAGTACTAGCTTTTGCCCGCGACTTCGTTCGCGTGGATTTCAGGTTCGCCCCGTCTAGTCTAGTAATAAGTAAGAAATACGGTAACTAAGCACTGCAGAGCCCTAATCAAAGGTCTATAGGTAGCTACTGCAGTATGCTCCTATAAACTACATTAAACGATTTTTTTCCTTCAGCATATACATGCAGATTCTTCGCTTTGAAAACGTAAGCGTTTGAGTGTGTTTTTTTACGACCTCACATTAAAAACCTCAAAATTTGTAGCCTATGTGTTATTCTGATTTATAAGCTATATTGTGGTAAAGTTTCATTCGAATCCATTCAGTAGTTTTTACGTGAAAGAGTAACAAACATCCATACATCCATACTTACAAACTTTCGCCTTTATAATAGTAGTAGGATAAGAGTGATTTTTATCTATGGTACAAAATACAAAACATACCATTAACTTTGTACTATTGCTCATTAATTTCAAAAATCCAAATTTTAATGTCTCTTCTTCCAGAATTGCTGTGTAAGTCACACCCATTTGACGATTTTCTTTGATCTGGAAATAATGTATTATACTTCATTGAAATTCTGAATAATTTATTATATAATTAAATATAGTTTATGTTGGCTTCTGTTTACCTGCAAATCTAATGGAAGTGAGTGATTTGGTAGCCATGTAGAGATCTTGTCCATCTGCAATTTATGATGTAGAAAAGTGACCATCTTCAGCAAAAAAACATCATGGTCCATTATATCTGAAAGATAAAGAAAATAACTAAATTGTAGGTCTTCAATTACAAGAATAGTAATTGCATAAATTAGGTAGTTTCCTAGGTCAAAAATTAACAAATTCGATGTTTCAGTACAAAAATATTTTATAAAAGTATTGAATTTGACTAGCTGGAAACTACTATATTACACGTAAATATTCATAGCTTACCTTCTTTATCTGATTTCAAAGCCAGAGAAATTTTAAATGGCGCAATTTTCCTGTGCAGCCTTAAATATTCATCCTTTTGGTTGTTATTTAATCCATCCAGTAAGAGTACTAATAATGCGTTTTCTAGACATAGAGAACATGACAGCTGCCCATATTTATGCTGTAAAAGAAGGTTCTTATAAAATAAACATTTCTAACTGATTTGCCTGGATGAAAGATGCATGAAAGTTTAATGTTATGTTTCATTATATTTAAGCATTTTTAAATGTGAGGGAATTATGTAAAGATTTCAGTAGGTGCTAATCTATACTTTCTTCCTAAAAAGCCTGGAAAGCTTTAGGTAATGTACAATTAATCTTTATTAGTTTGTTACATAGTTTAAATTAATATCTTACATTTGGGTGAGTTTCGCAAGATAAGGTTTCCACAGTCTGATGTCCATTAGGGAACTGAGCAACAATATCAACATTAGCAGTATTGTTTTCATACTTTAAATCAATAACAGAGAATAAACTGGGTGTTGTTGATATCTGTAAAATATATTGGAGAATATTAGTGTTGAATGATGATGCTGGCAACTAGTTACTCTTCAGATCTAGCACTTATACAAGAGTGACCCTGATTGCTTACAACCAGTTGATTAATTGGCTTATCTTTGCATAGATTACATGAGTTTTAGGATCAGACATATGTCAAAGTTCATATTTATTTCGTCAGTAAATTAACAACCAGATGACCATTGCTGAATATAGGCCTCTTTCGATGACTTCCAATTAGCCCGCTTGGAAATGCCCAGTGTTGAAGGGCTTTCTTTCTTAGGTTGTCTTTTCAGCTTGTGTTTGGGTATTTTGTGCCTGTACTCATAAATAAGTCATAGTCATAATTAATGTATAAGTTATTGCAAGACTCACACTGCTCCACCAGTACTTTCTATATCTTTGCCATTGTATGAGGTATTGGATAGCTTCTTCCCGAGGTATAAATATATCTAATTTCAGCAAAGATTTCTTTGTTAAATTACCAGTATCTAAGTCCATTTCTAATTCCATATTTTTATGGTAGTCGTGTATATCTTGCTTTACTACTCCATACACCAATGGAACATATGCTAATTTTGAACTAAGACTATTTAAATATACGGGCATTTGATGCTTATCAGACTTCACATAGTTGTATTTCAACCAGTTAACATGGATGTTATTCATAAGTAATTTGCTAGGCTTCTTCAAAATAATATTGGCCTTTTTATCATTTATTTGAAGGATGGTAAAAAATTGCTTCATCTGAAGGAGCTTTTCTATTTCAATTTTCATTTTGTTTTAGTTTTGTAGACTCTGATTCAACTTCAACTTCGTGTAAAGGTATATTGCCTATGGGTGCAACAAAATAGTCATCTTCTGTCACTGTTGCATTTTTAAGAATTTCTTTCTGACAATTTCCTTGTGTTACTTTATCTTCCCTGAGCATTAAGGTTCTGAAATATAATGTTTGTCATAAGAAACAAATACTGGATAAATAATATCATAGATACAGCTATAGGTACTCACTGATCTTCAAGAACTGAATATAGGGGTTCGACATTGTCAGTATCAATGTGTAGGATCTTGTCAGCAAAGGCAATGGAATCTTCTAAAATTTTAAGTCCTTCATCAGTGTCAAAACTTACTAAAGAAAGCCGCTCTAATAGTGCTATTGTATTTCTCTCCACTTTAACAGTCGAGGTAAATTCATTAACCAAAGATGGAACAGGTAATGCTGGTATTTTGGAATTTAAGTTTCTACAGGCAATTTGAATCAAACTCAACGAAGTTCTGGAGGTTCTTTTAACTATATTTAATATCATACTTGTTCGAGGTGTTTCAAATGTTTTGAAATTTTATGAATGAAGACGAAGACGATGTCAAAAATTTTTAGAATTTTCAACCATTCCAATTTTATTAGAAATCAGAGATTGTCAGACATTCTGACATTCCCTAAATGTCATTATGTCACGACGAGCTGAAGTTTTTTCTTTTTCTTGAATGGCAACCGTGGCTCTAATACGTATTTGTGCTTTTTAACATCTCGTTTCAACGATCAGAAGTATTAGAATGTTCCATGCCCATAATACCCTAAAATTTAATTTTATTCATTACCTACTTATTATTTTAAAGCAGTCTTATGGTTTGGACCCAGCTCCATTTTAGAATAAAATTACGTACGTTTCTAGACAAGTTGTTATTGTCACTGTCATCTGAAATTGTCAACATATTTCTAACCTCAACTTGGCTGGTTCAAGTTGGAAAATAAAGAATTATATTTTGAATTCACAATAACCTTTAATAATTCATTGATTATTAAACAGGTATGTAATTATACCTATTACTTTATTCTAAATTAATCATAGAAAATAAAATCACTATATTTGTGATGTAATATTATTATTTTTCGGTTTCAATTGCTTAATGTTCATCCTTGTTTTCATTTTCATCTCTTCTCTTTTTTAATTTTATTTAGATTGATTGATAATTTGTCTTAGCTGTTTCTAGAAAACACTATTTTAAAATAGGAATGAGTAGTCCAGATTGTATTATAAAAAAAATTGAATATTAAATATGAAAATACATTGAATTATTTTTTATATTTCAGGAAATATGAAAAAGTATGCCCGCAATGTTTTGTACGACAAACTGCACAGAGGAAGTGTGTTAGTATGTGTTGGCCTAACTTTGTATGGAACAGTGCTATTAGGTGACCATTTTTATAAATACTTCAAGTATGTAAGACCTCAAATACAGGCATCAAAGGAAGCGGCCGAGAAGGAACTTTTGTCTGAAGGGTCTTCAGAAAGACTTAATATGTAGCATACTTGTCTTCAGTCATTATGTACACTTAGAAACTAATTTAAGCTATAATTGTAATTAGTTAGTTTTGTTTTGATGTTATTTTATTAAATCAATGTCTGAGTAATGTGTGTTAAATTTATATTACTGTCCTTGCATCTCTAATTTACATTATATAATGAATTTATAGTAATATGCCAACTGTCTTATCAGTTGCATGCCCCTAATACAATCTGGGACCAAGAAAAATCCAAGGTTCAATTTTTATTTTAAAATATGTAAGTACAATCTTAAAATACTAAGCCTTCTAATGTAGATAAGAGCCTACAAATTTTCCTTAACATTCTCGTTAATTTCATTGTGCAGTCATAGATGGCGCTACTAGTTACTTTGCTGATTTATATTGCACCCGTAAGAAATTAATTCAAATTGAATTAAAACACTTCTTTGTTTTTTGGTATAGTTGGGCAAAAGAGAAGACGCATCACCTGATGGTAAAATACTCACAACATAGGAGTTAAGTGCGTTGCCGGCGTTTTGATAAGATTCGGCATCCAGTAACCACAGTCACGCGGCAAAACATAATTAATGCTTTTTTCTGCGAGGTATTCCTACCAAATAGTCCGGAACAGCCAAACCATTCGTGCCGATGACCCACACTACGTGTCTTCTTTTCCCTAACACATACCTAAGTATGTTGTTTAACATACATAATTTAATCACACCATTGATTTGAATCCAGAAACTTCAAATTTAGATTTTAAATCATATTGTGGTCTGTAGAGGAAATACCTAGTGGCAGGGACCCCAAATAGCAGGTATTTCGACCAAACGATATAATACCTATGTAATATTATAATATCACAGAACAGAATATACGCCTAACGGAAAAACACTATTTCTTTTAAATAAATATCTCGTTTTTCGCAATAGTAAGAACAAAGAATTTAATCAAATTATTATAGCTAATGTCAGTGTTTAAAATGGTCGTGATGACGTCACGTGAAAACGACGGTGTCCGCTCTAGTTTATGTGGGAATTATTTAGAATATAAAAGCTAGTAGCTTTTTAAATATCCAGTAACCTAGTTCTTGGTCAATTTCTTTGAAAGGTGAAAAATGTTATTGTGGTAGGTACCTAATAGTTTCCACACAATGAAAGGTCGTAAAGTAGACACATGGCAGTAAAAGTGAGGGGTAGATAGGTATCTGAACCTACGTGGGGTCTATCTAAAGAGCGACATAAAGTATTTATTCAAACATCCAACGTGATAGTTGTTTCATTCAGGGTTGAATGTCGTAGGTGTGACTTAGGTGCCGATAAGCACTCGCCTACATACAGACGTCTTTTAGTTATTCATCAATAAATAATGATTTGTGAAAATAGGAAAGGTTTTAATAAAACATGATATAATTTGAGTTTTGGCGTTTGAAGGCTGTATAAAGTACTTAAATGGTGAGATAGTGAGGTAACTTTTTAATTTTAATGTTTGGGTATAGGTACCTACCTAGTGACCGTAGGTGCTTACATGTTGAAATGTTGAACATATCTAAGGTCAAATAGCTATAACAACTCTTCTATTCTGTCAGAACATTCTATCGCCACTAGGACAGTCTATTAAACCTCCATTCTTTAAACATCTACCTGTGCAATTTGACGCACGTTTGCATTATCTATCTACGCAATGCGATCGCTAAAGTGTACCTTGGTGCGATATCCTTAAGAGAAAACGTGGACGTAATAAATAGCTAGATAGGGCTAGTCACGTGCAGGTCGTCCCATTTATGCTTCTTGTGAACACTGAAGGAAGTGCTGCAATTACTTGTGATGGATAGTGAGAGTTAGATGCGGCCGTAAGGGTCGCGCCATCCATATAACTTTCTTATCTACCTCTGAAGGGAAACTTTATGACATCTTTACGGGAATCGAAAAATATGGACGACCCTTGACATTAAAACGCCGGTCTCGTATACCCAAATCGGATTTAAGAACTAAGGTTCTGACCATAGTACACTGGTTAGCGAGTAATCGGCGATTAACCGTGCCGCCCTTGCGTTGTTTACGCGCCACCGAGAGTTAATTGCGGTCACAGTCGGAACTTTATACAAAATAGGCACCAATAGGCTTTAAGGGTTGTTTTGGAGTTTCCTTAAAAAATAATTATGGGTTGAATGCCCTTTGTTGGGTCTGTTATTTATTACATACCTACATAGAGAAATAATTATGTATGCCTATACATACAAGTAGGTTCATACGTACACCAACACAATAAATAATTTTGTGTTGTATTTATAATGTCCTATTTGATAATAAAGAAGACCTTAGAATTCCTTTCATGGAAATTCCTTTTCCAGCTCCGAGCTGGAGCCGTGGTACAATGTTGCACTTGCACTCCGGCTGGAAATTTTGAGTAACTACAATGTACGCAGTAATTTTGAGAAAGAAAATAAAGATTGAGTCGGTAGCTATAAAAGTTGGACATGACGTGTTAAAGCGTCTAGGTACTATCTTTTGTAACTATCGGTCGGCTCGTTAGCCAGGCAATAGTCATTGTCTCTTTTTGAAGAGTAAGTAAATATAATGACTTACGTGAATCAACTTAGAAAAGCTCTACTAGTTTCAAGTCACTACGGGGCTCTTATTTATATGAGCAGCCTGCAGGCGACGTCAGTTGGTTGCATCAGTTGTCTCTGTATTAAATCTTAATTTTCACACCGGTATACCAAATAACAGAGAACGCTGTATCTACATAATGTACATAGGTACTAAATAATATCCTAAACAAACTCTCCGAATTAAGTATTTCGGTCGTATCTTGCCTTCTAGAAGAATTCCAATTAGGAAGAAATGTATTTACACAAGTGGGTATCTAGATACTTATTACACTTCTACGTTACACTTACAATTGGTAAGTACCTCTAAAAGACTTGAACAATTGAAAGTGACATCGCATACTAAGCATTATTCAATTTGATAGATATTTAGGTTAATAACTAGTAAACAAATTCACATCACATCATCACATCATCAGCCTATAAGCGCCCACTGCTGAGCAAAGGCCTCTTGTCGATGCACATATCGACCATCGACATCACCTACGGCCGCCGGCGGGCAGCACGGGCCGGGCGAGACGCGCGGGCGAGGGGTCCTACCGTGTCCGCCATCGGCACTCCGCACAGCACCTTTACTACCGACGCTAGCTTGTTATATATTTTTGTACCTAATCAGTATTCCTATTATAAATTTACAGTCCACTTAAATATATCTTTTATTTAAACTACAGACCTTAACATGGTCCTTCGAGCCGGATTGACCTTAACACCTCTTGTCACACGGAGAAGGTTTGAGCATTAATCACCACGCTTGCTCAATGCGGGTTGGCGATTTCAAACTTATAATTAGAAATTATAAGTCCAGGTTTCATTACGATGTTTATCTTCAAAAAGTAAACAAATTATATAAATATATTCACAAACATTCAAACTGATTAAATAGAAACGATTGGTATAACAATGACGGCATTCTAATATTCCCTATATCTGTCTAATTGCCAACGTACGTAAGATGTAGATATTTTTATAACAAATAAATATAAGTATTGTTTTAGTAAAGTAATAGTAAAAAATAATGATTAATGTAATGTATGTAGTTATTTCCTACGAATAATACAACCGTTACTTTATTAGGAATATTTATGACGATTTTTAGTTTGACACAACATGTAATCCAAAATACTGATACGCCCACAAAAATGCAATTACTGGGTAGCAAATGTAAAAAAAAAACATTCAAAACATTTGAGTTTACGGAAATAAATATTGTTAGATACTAAATATATTTTAAGTATGACAACACTTTTGGAATTACCCATCGGTTGCTAGGGAAGTCTATTCCGGGCGTCTCTATTTTAGCAAACAGATCGCAAAAGCAATCAAGGATAAAATTAAACAGATTATGAAAAGGTTAAATTAACTTATTATGCCTATTTTGTGATTTCCTATTTCGGATCAGAAGTCATATTTACACAATACGGTAGTTTAAGTGTGGGAGAGCCATGCTTCGGCACGAATGGTTCGGATCAACCACAGCGATACCACGGCCTCACAGAAAACCGGCGCGATTGTTTCACACCGGTTTTCTGTTGTGCTTCCGCACA